AAAGTTGCCGCAAAATGTTATCGCTGAATACCCTGCGACTATTCGCGCTGCGATAAATGTGAAGTTGTAACTGAATCGAGTGTGATATTTCGACTTGAAACTTCGTACAACCAACGTGAAGTTGGCTGCGTTCGACGGACTTTTTCGTATTGCGACTATACGTAGAATAGTCGCAATGCGATATTCCGCAAATTTCTCGTCGGGTAAAAATCATCTCAATGCCATTGAACAACTTCAAAAGGACGCTAGCGTCAACGACACGCTTTTAATTATGGGCGACTTCAACCTGGGATCAGCCGCATCTTGGACAATGAATGACGATGGTTTTGACTTCATTCCAACAATTGGCAATTCACAGTGTATGAAAGCGATCATAGCGAGAGAAGTAACATCATCAATGATGAATCTGAATCTGTCTCAAATGTGCAATTTTCAAAATAAATTTAACAAAGTTCTTGACTTGATCTATACTAATACGCCTGAACTGACCGTGGTTAGCAAAGCTGACTTTTTAATACTTCCGATTGAGAAATCTGATAATGGTCATGTATCAATGATGTGCACGGTGGAATGCTCACCTAAAGTGCTTCCAGCTGGCGAATCGAATTCTATGTTTTGCTTCCGGAAAGCAAATTTTGAATTAATTATGGAGCATCTCTCAAATTTGAACCTGGTAAACGCATTGACTGATATAACGAATGTGAACGAGATGACATCAATTCTTTATTCTGCTATCTACAACACATTTGAACAATTTGTTCCAAGAGCTACCATTCGTTCTACAAACAAGCCAATTTGGCACAACAGGGAGCTATCCAGACTTAAAAACGTAAGAAATTCCGAATATAAAAAGCTGTGTAAACAACGAAAAATTGACCCCGAAAATGCGAATGAACAACCCTTTTGTGTAGCCAAGGATGATTTTGAACAATATCGTAAACAACGGCATAATGATTTCATTCGTGAAAAAGCTTCGAGCCTAAAATCAGACCCAAAATCTTTCTGGAAATTCGTTAATGATAAGCGAACCTCGAACTCTCTTCCCAGCATAATCAACTACAATGGGCAGATAGCAACAAATGATTTGGAAAAAGCGAATGTGTTTTCACAATTCTTCCAGCATGTCTACACTCAACATGATGAAGACACAGATTTGCGAACTTTTATCGCAGGCAGATGTGACCAAAACTGCTTTAAAATACAAATCTCAGGTGAACATGTATATTCGGTCCTTAGTTCAATGGATCTCAACAAAGGAAGTGGGCATGATGGCGTTCCTTCAATTTTTCTCCGGCAATGCGCTGAAGTTTTATGTCACCCTTTGGCCATGATTTTTTCGCGATCCTTTCCTGATGGATGCTACCCTGAACAGTTTAAATTGGGGCAAATTACTCCCATTTACAAATGTGGATAGAAGTCTGATGCTTCTAATTACCGAGGAGTAAACGTTCTACCAAATTTGGCAAAAGTTTCTGAACGCGTTGTTTACTGCCAGCTAAAAATGATTATCTCGCCACATAAATCGAAAACTCACGGTTTTCTATCAAATAGAAACATTGAATCAAATTTGATGGAGCTTACAACGCTGGCACACGACGCATTCGAGAGTGGTGCCCAGCTCAATGTCTTTTATGCCGATATAGCAAAGGCATTTGATTCAGTTAATCCATCGCTACTGATTGAGAAATTGGCAACTTTTCCAGTATCAAACAGAATCTTGAATTGGTTTATATCGTACTTAAAAAATAGATCTCAATATGTTCGAGTCAAGTCAGCTAAATCAAGCACGTTCAAAGTCACATCAGGCGTCGGTCAGGGTACAATTTTGGGTCCATTGCTTTTCCTTATATTCTTCAACGATTCGGATAGCAATATTGATAATGATTTATCGAACATCTTCTACCTGAATTTTGCTGATGATAAGAAGATTGCAGCCATAATTAAAACTGATGAGGATGCAAGCAGACTACAAAAAGCCATTGACAACTTCATGTCTTGGTGTGAAAAAAATGGCCTTCTCGTCAACATAATGAAATGCAAGATGATGATTTTCAAACGTGGCTCGAAAAAGGAGTATAAATACACCATGAATGACAAAGTCATTGATAATGTCACCGAAATCAAAGACCTAGGTGTTCTAATGGATACCAAGTTAACCTTCACCTCACACATTGTCTACATGACCAACAAAGCCAAAATGGCATGGCTATTTGTCAAGCGACAGTCCCATCACTTTGACCAAGACACCATACAAATATTGTACAGTTCACTCGTCAGATCCGTCCTGGAATTTGCATCAACAATATGGTCGCCGAACACCTTCGAGTATCGCAAAGCCGTTGAAGTACGCAAAAGCAAATGCTGATCTTTTACAATGGCGATCACCAACACAGAGAGGAAAACAACTACGTCTTGAGACCATACACTGAGAGGTGCGAGGAAGCTGGAATGCAAACTTTCATCAGGAGGAGAGTGAATGCGTCTGTTTTATTTATTCATGGTCTGATTAGTGGAAAGACACAAGCACCAAATTTGAGGAACAAAATGAAACTAAACCCAGGGACCAGGTGTCTTAGGAATCCAGAATTTGTCAAACTACGAACGTATAGTCACGATTACTCATATCTCCAGCCATTTAACGTCGCCTGCCATGTATTCAATCTCGCATCTCTTCGCATTGACCCTACTTTGCCACATCATGACTTCAAGAGAAAACTCATCAGCCTGCCAGATGATGCATTTAGTTCGTGGACGAAAGTAAAGAGTGATGGAATTGGTGATGGAAGGCTAAGGTGAAGTTTTCTTAGTGCTCTCTTTTGATCGGTTCAAACACAAAGAAAGCACAAACCCAGGTTGTCATTTTTTATCTCATTCATTTCAAAAAGCTTAAGGAAATTGTTTGTTCTTGTAGTTTGAGACAACGCCACCGGATGGACCATAACGATGACAAAAGGACTGTGATACTGAGGAGCACAAACCAAAATATGGAATCAAATTCCCACAAACCATAAACCATAAACCAAAGAGGCAGTCGAAATCACACTTAGCAAATATACACAGCAGTGAATATACAAGAAATATGTGATAAAATCAAACTCAAACTTAAAAATCAAACTTAAACTTTATGAATTTAACGATTTTAAAGAAAGCCTAAATGATCCTAGTCACTCACAGTATTTTTCAATTTACCTTATTGATTGCTTTTTACTCTCTCATTTTTCACATTATTTATTTATTTATTTATTTATTTATTTATTTACTATTCATCTACTCGATTATTTTTCGACACATTTACAACCCTATTTCTTTACCTATATGATTCAAACTAAATTCTAACTAAAATATGACTACTGTTAACTATACATACAAACAACTACGTTATATAAGCGAAAGAACGTTATTACCGAACTTACTTAACTTATGTAAAACAATGTAAACTAACTTTCTAAACAGCCAGCATTTGGCGGTGTCAATAAATAATAATAATAAACCCAGAGCAAATATGTTTGAGGGTACAAACCGTACCACAGGCCAATTTTGGTCGGAACGATTGGGCCCGAGGGGCAAACAACTCATAAGTAATACTGTGTATTAGTATTACTTTAAGTAATACTAATGTAAATATTACCTAGCTGGGTTTGGTAATGTAAATATTACCCAGCTATAGCGTATTGGTTAGCGTGCTAGCGTTGTAAGCGTGGGGACACGGGTTTGAATCGCATAGTGGTCGAAAATCTTTTCTCTTCAAAATATCATTGGTTTTATCAATGGGGTTATGAATTGATGGAGTAAGACCGGCGTGGAGGCCTGTGGAGTGCTCCGGGAGGCACTTTAAGCCGTGGGATCCCGTGCAATATATACAGAAGATGAGTACAGGTATTGCACGTAAGATGGAGCGCCTAACGCTAGGTTGTTGTCTTCGATACATGTATTGATTGCTAGGGGATAGACACAAGATCTGAGATACGATCGTTTTTCAAAATACTTAATTGATTTTGTGTAGAGGTGTTCAGATTCGTGAAGATTCATTGAGATTTGAAGGGATTTGAAGAGATTTGTAAAAATCTTACTGATTTGTTTGACTTTTTTGACAAGTCAGCCATTTTGATTTGAGAAGATTCATAAGGATTCATAGAGATTCAAAAGTATTTGAATTTGCTCGAGATTTGAGATTCCTACAGATTTGAAAAGATCTAAAAAGATTCAAGTTTTAAATGTTGTGTCTACCCCCTAGATTGATTGCAATTACCGCTAAAGGTTGTTGCCTGATATTGGTGAATACATCGGTATATCAGTGTCAGAGCATGTCTCTTCATCGAAAACTCAATTACAAAAATGAGATGCGTAGTTTGGATTGGCTCTTTAGAAGTGAATAACTTGAGTAAACAGAAAAATCTGATGGAATACAGAGACGGGCCAAAAATGGAAGTGATGGAGGTCTTCGTATATCGGACCACATGCGACCTGAGAGCCCTCTCTTGACAAATATAGAAAAAGTACGGGCACAAAAATAGTATTCACAGCGGGCGCCTCGCAATAGACTGATTACAGCCTGAGCGACGAATCTCTCATATATCCAATAATCCAAAAAATAATCCAAATATTACCTAGTATTACTTTTTCCGAACAATAGTATTATTTTTTAGAGGAGTATTACTCAAGTAAAAGTAATACCACTTTTGGAGTTTGCACTAGACAGAATTGATTTTTAAGAGTGATGACCTTTTTTTGCTCTTCAAATTTTGATGTTGGGGCGGCATTTTGATTTTGGGGCGGAAAGAACTTTTAAACTGATACAAACAAATTGTTTGCTGTCAAATCCTGTCTCGCTCACACCAACCGTCACACTGACTCGTTCGTGGACGAATTGCTGTTAGCGTAAAAGAGATGTTGTTCGCAGTAAACTCAGTTTAGATGTTCTTTGCTTCGGGCGGCAAATTTCCTTTGCACGCCGCCGCAAATCACCATCATCAACGCCTGAAAAAAATCAAACACATGAGTTTGTTGATTTGTTTGCATTTTTTTCATTGTTTTCTTCTTTTTTTTTCTTCATCATCTTCATCTTCTTCTCATGTTTATTTAAAAAATTATTATTGTGAAGCAATGAACGTGAAATACACACACAAATATTATTAATTTAAAAAATACAGTCAGACATTTTTGTTTCTTTTCTTTTTCTATAAAAAAACGAAGCGAAAATTAAAAAGTGCTAATTAAAGAGGAAAATTCGGGTGAATGCGGGACAAATGGATGGTTACACCGAATGAATTTGTTTTTTAAACGAAAGAATTACAAAGGAACAAACAAAAAAACAGAAAATTGTTGCTGCGATAGAATCATATGATTGAGATGTTGCTATGTGTGTGTGTGTGGCACGAAATTGCCCCGTCAATTTCATTTCATGTTTTTCTTAAATAATTTTTTTTTCTCTGCTTTTTTCTCCACGATACCATTTTTTTCATTCATTGTTTTTGTTTTGCGTATCTGGTTCTGATTGGGATTTATTTTTCTTCATTCCAAATTGTGGGGAGAACACCTCCGGTGCTGATGGTAACACAGGCTATATTTTTTTTATTGATCTTTGACGGTTATTACGGCGGCGACGGAGTTATCGATTGTAAATCGCATCATGAAGAGTTTGTATCGCCGTTATCGTGGTAGTTATTTCCATTTATTATAAATGTGTTGCCTAGGCCATACAAATGGCCGCAGTATTTTGCATTATCAATGTTATCCTCAAAGAACATCTGCATACGGCGCCAAGAAAATAAAAAGAAACGGGAAAGAGAAGAGAGATATTATGAGATTAATGGGTGGATTCGATTTTGAATGTGAAATAAAATGAACTACTGGCTACAATGATATTGATAAATCTACGGTTTTTATTTTAGCGTTGGGCGATTGGTGTGTGTAATCGTGTGACATTTGCTGAATTTATCGGCATGGCTTCATACAATTGTTTTTCGTTCTATTCTTTTGTTCTTTCTACGCATTTCATCGATTTGAAGAAAGAACACTATCAACCATCAACAACCGAAGTGTAAAAAAATGCAAGATAAAAAAAGATGCAAAGCAATTTGATTGCTTGCAATGACATTTGGATCATACAAAGAAATTGTAATTTTGCTTTTGGAAAATGCTTTTTGGAAATGGATCATTTGCACACACACACAAAAAATGTGCCAAAATTGGTATAAATCAATTAGAAAAAAAGTGTACAATAATTTAAGATATTGTGTTCACGATTCGATGTGTGAATTTGATGGAGAATTGATTTTGTTGATTCAGTTCGGTTCAATTGAATAACATGACTTTGTCATTTGCTTCATCGGCTGCAATTGCATTGTGATTGATATCCAGTTTCGATTCAGTGTCATCACTGTCATTATCGTCTCTGATGGAAATCAGTTTGCCGTTGATGCCATTGCCATTGCCATTGTCGGTGATCGTGTCGCTGCCGCTGCCATTCTCAATTTTCACACTTGTGTAGTCATCACAACATCGCCAAAATAATTTCTTCTCCGAATTCTTTATAGCTAAACGAAATTCAACGCAATCATATACCTCTCTCATTTTGAAGAATGCCATTCCGGTTAGATGTGAATCGGAACCGGCCTGATGTTGCGGTCCCACGCGTCGTAGCTCCAGCTGATCGGCCACTTCTTGTAAGCCACCTTTGAGATTTTTACACGATTTCATCAAATACTTTACATCGTAAATGGTTGGAAAGTACAATCGCAACAGTTCAAAAAATTCCCCCTCTTCGGCCGGCAAATTTTGGTCGGTTAATAATTTAAGTAGGTAGCCAAAATCGTAGCCGGAATGAAAGCTCAACCACTTAATATTGTCCATCAGCACAATGCCCGATGTCATTAGCAATTCGGCAAAATCCATTGGATCGATACCCTCCTCTTCATGTTTATTGAATTGAATGCCCGAATTTCGCAGCAAATCGATTGAATCTTGAGCGTACATATCCTCTCTGTAGGCGGGTAGAATGAGAAAAGTAACAAATTAATATTGGCTTACGTTTTGCCGGATTAAATTCAACTTGAGATCGCATTAAAATTTGAATGAGAAAAAGTGAAGCTGAAACCATGTTACACTCACTGTATATTGAATTTGAAGTTGAACTGCCATGTTGAGTAGCCGCTGGGTGTTTTCGCTTCGTCATCCATAAATGTAAGGCCCAACTGAATGATGCGCAACAAATCGACATTACATTTTAACAATTGATACTGATAATCGGCGGCCGATCGAAATTCACCGATTGGACGAGCCACCACACCCGGAAACTCGGTGTCCATTGCCACATAATTGTATTTTTGTACGATTTGACGAATTGTACGAAATTCCTCTTCTAAATTGTGTCGCCATACATCACGAATTCCACATTCTTCATTGTTCGGTATTTGTCCAGATGCATTTGCCGATGTTGAATGCGTTGTACCACCGCTGCTGCCTGTGCCACCAATTGTCCCACTAGCATTGTTACCAACACCAACTGGAACACTGCCACCAATTGCAGATGGCATCTGGTTGTAATACTGCAAATGAAACCGAAAAAAACCACACAGGTTGTTGTCATTGACGTTGAAATTTTTTTGGCTCATCTTAAATTGAGTTGATAAATGGAAAAGGAACAGTAATCTTATTCTTGTGAACGCTCTAATGCGTAGAGAGACTTAACCAAAAATCACATCTCACTTACGGAGAGAAAAAAAAGAAGTAAATCAATCGCTCAACTTGAAAAAATATAAATCGTTGAATCTATTGAAAATTCGATAAAGGGAAGAGAGAAAAAAAACAATGGCTTTGAATGAAACTTTTCAAAAATGTTGAATCAAAACATAAAAAATTCCCCGGTTTTCCTTGAATCAGAAAATAAAAATGAACGAGCACCTCAACAAATTTTCTATACAGTTGCAGAAAAAAATAACATATTACCATGGGTGTTTGCACGTAGCATGGCACAAATGTTTGACCAATATTATAAAACATATCAAAAATGTGTGTGAAATGTCTCTGAATTGCCTATTGATTTGCCCGGAAAATTCGTTGACTATGTTTTTCTTTTGGTTTTATCGTTGATTGTGAACTTTTTGATTATTTTAAGGATGATTGAGATCGAACGATTGAACAAACGTGCCGAAAGAAACACAATTTCCGTTTGAACTTTAATTTTGTTTGATTAAGCTTAAAAACTACTTAAAAACTAGAACGTTTCACCGGCGAAACCGTTGTTACTTTGAATTTTTTTCGACTTTTCTATGAATTTTGCGATTTTTTTTTCTCTCGTTATTTATGGCTATTTTTAAAAATAAAGTGTTATTTTGTAATTAACACGTGCTTCATTTGGAGCAGTATCGCAGTGAGTGGTCGTGCAATCACACTTTGCAAATCAAATGGTCGTTCTATCAAAACGGTAAATTCTGTCATATCGAATTTGTGCAGTGTAACGTGCTCACGGTATGAGCATGGTGTGTTGTTGCATGTCATTTGTTCGGATCGATTTGCCTACCGGCGAATATGCGGTATTCACTAGATATTTGTTTGTCTCTCGTGTTTGGTCATAATGAAAATGGATGTTCGGTTTTTTTTTTCGTTTTTCCTTAAATTAAATCATAAATTCACTTACATTTGTTAGATCACCAATTTTCTCTGCCACGATGTGTCTCTGGTTCGGAATAAAGTTTGGTTCGAAATGATGGGTGATTCGGTTTGATTTGGTTTTGCGTTGACCGGCTATGTAAAGTGTATGTTTGTTGGTTGTGTGTGTGCGTGTGAAAGTATGAGAGCAAAGATATGTTTCGATGACTTGATGTTGTTGCTACTGTGTTCCTTTCTTCTTCTCGGTTTACTCTCTCCCTCTCGCTCTCTCGCTCCCTCGCTCCCTCTTGTTTTCTCTCTCTCTCTCTGTGTATGTGTGTTAATAATTTCGCTTCACCACCGAATCAATGCGCCGCCCGATTTCGGTGCGTGTGAATGCAATGTGATTACAGTTGCCGACAAAACCCTTTCGTCGACCACTTGTTCGATGGATTTTTTTCCGCTTGTCGGTTGGAATCGTTGTGATTTGTCTCGTTACGAGCTGTTTGTGTCCAGGCAATTTGTAATACGTGGTGAATGCAATCGTAATCATTCGATTTTGTGAAATTAGCTCGGATGCCAATAAATTTCCGCCGAAAATGTTCATTGATCACACGATAGATTGGGTTGCAATGTCAAAATGTGTATCGCAAAAAAAATAAGGTGTCCTAAACCGAGAGCGAAGTGTGGAAGAGAAAAAGAGAATAGAAAAAAATGACAATTAGTTGTATGAAACATGTTAAATACTTGTAAGTTCAATTAAACAAACAATCCAATTGACAGATACTGAATTTGCTGTCAAAAACACACATGAATCACACTGGAAGGTGCCAACTAATTCTTCACAGTGAGAAATTTACACTTTGTTTTTGTTCAAAGAGAAACTAAATGAACTGACAGAAAACTTAAGTAAACGAAATCGAGGCGTTTCGTATGATTTAAATGGCAATTCGCGTGTTGAATTGAGCACTTGCACAATGCGCGCGGCACGGATTACATTGGTACGGATATCAGATCGAGTCAATTGAAGAGTCAACAAAACTCGTAATGTCGGCCAATTTACTCGTCGAAAGCACTTTTTTCCGAATGAAACTGGTTGACACGATCGTCGTCGTGTGACACTCAATGCAATTTTCTCGATTTGATTTTTCCGATTCGGCCAATTCTAGAATTTGTTAGATTTTCCACATTTATTTACGTCTTATTCTGGATCCGAATGTTTTTGCTTGTTATTCTGTCTGAGCTAAATATCGTCGATGGACACTCGAGTCGTAAGCGTATGATGGATTTGCATTCATTCACTCACTCACTCGGGGCCCCGACCGAGATTTTGTATGCAAACAACAAGCAAAACAACGAACGAATTTTTCTCTAGCCCAAAATGTATAACCTACTATCAAAATGTTGTTTCGGAAATGCTATCCGAATGATGGGTAAACTACTGCAAACGAAAAATTTTGATACACTTTTGACGGTAGAAATAAAACGAACGAACAGAATTAAAAACACTTTTTCCAACACATTTTATTCCTTTCTTTCCACTTTGAGTTTTTTTTCGTTCTTTTTTTTCTTCTCTCGTTTCGTTTCGGTACTACTATGTGCTGGGTATCGGTGTGTATATTTTTTTTTTCGGTCGTCCACTAAAATGTCATGGCGGCATTAATCAAGTTTGATGTTATATATGTCGTTCAGGCAGTAGCGAAAAACCCGCGCGTCAGTGGTAAGGCTAAGAAAATAGTCGGAATGTGTAATGTGAATACAGACCAATTCGCCGCGCGTAACACACTCACAAATACCGTATTTCATCATTTGAATTATTAATTGCTGAATTGATGGGGAAATTTGTGCGAAATTGTGCTAGATTTACCTAGACAAAATAAAAATCCATTCGAAATCGTAATTTTGTACCAATTTACTGGCATCAGCCCAAAATTACGCATTTCATTTCGGTTGTTTACGTGCCGTTCGAATGATGTGAATGCGTAAACGCAATCCCATAACACAATGTGCTCTACGACAGCAGCAGCAGCAGCACTGAGGGCGAAGAATGATCGCTTCGATGGAGAGCCGCAAGAGGGTGCTCGCAATGCGTACGATTCCAAATGATGTCTTCAATTTTTGACATTCCGCAGAAAATTGATGTACAAAAAAGTTTGTTTACTTTTTAGCGGGCGCAAAACATTTCCATCACAAATTTTAATTTGAATTTCAGCCGCACACATCGAATCAACACCATGGAAAGTTCACCAGTGAGTGGAAAAGGTAAGAAAATCCATTGAAATTGTGAACTGTATTTGCGATAAACCGCAAAGGTGATTGAGAGTATTAAAAAAAAAATCAACGCAACCAAATGATTATTATCACATTCGTTCGGCAGATAATTTGGAGGTAACCGGAGTTTCAAGAAGTGGACGCGTACGAAAGAAATCATCAAAATTGCTGGATTTTCAGTCACCCGATGACATTGACACAGCCAAAGTGCTGAAACGCACCGCACACAAAAGTCCATCCACAAAAATCGCATCACAACGGTCGGCCACCAACTCTGGCGCCCATTCAAAATCATCGATCAAAGCGTATTTCCAGCCAGTTGTAAAAGCAACCAACAGTTCACACACCACAAATAATTTGCTGCGAACACCGAACAAACATGAGAAACCCGAAGTGGCCATCGACAAACAGATCGACATGCTGTTGTCATCGAGTAAATATTCAGCGGACGACGATGACGATGTGGACGATGACGATGACGATGATGCAATGAATGTAGATAATAACAATGATGTCGATTCTGATGAGGATTTTGAACTAGCAATCGATACGACAATGCGAAAGAGTGCGTATATGTCTGAGAAATCATCGAAAAAGAAGATTTTCAAAGACGGTGAAATTGTACTGAGTCGACCGCAACGAAAAGACAAAGGCAAACCACGATTTACCGCGTATATGCTGTGGGCGAAAGAGGCACGGCAAGAATTGCAAAAATCAAATCCAAACATGGATTTCTCACAAGCATCACGGCGTTTGAGCAAGATGTGGGCCATTGTACCGAATAATGAGAAAAATATATGGCGACGCCGTGCTAAACGTGTTACCGTCAAAAATAAAAAAGCATTGAAAACCGGCGACAAATTAACCACAAAATATTTGAATAAACCGGGTCAAAAGAAACCGGGCCGCAAGCCAAAACGTACAAAAGACACAAAACCAGATGTGATTCCATCACCATCACCATCGAAAAAAACCAAAAGCGATCGAAGGTCCACCGCATCGAATAGCTCAAGGGATGAAGATCTATCGAAACAGAAATCGGTGCTGAATAACAGTAATAATTTAAGCGCAATATTGCCGGGAGCGTACAAAGTCACTGGCATCGGGCCGACCGAAGTAGCCGCACATCTCAAACTATTAGGCGATAATTTAGCAATCATCGGCCAACGGCTCAAAGAACATGAGGTGAGCAGATACGGATGTCATTGTTTTTGGTGTCTAAAACACATTCACCTTCATTTTCAAACTCATTCGGACATTTAACTACCAATTTTCCTCTTTTTTCTCTTTTTCACAGGGTCAAATAACCGTTTCCGGCAGTCTATCGGTGCTGTTGGACAGCTTACTATGCTCACTCGGCCCGTTAATGTGTCTTACAACAATCATACCGGAGGTGGATGAACCTGGCCATCTAAAAGATACTCTAGTTAATATACTGGATAATATCGCGTACGTGATGCCTGGACTTTAAAAGTGACTCCGTCGTCGGCTCTTTTATTTTGTTTATTTAGACGTTTTTGTTTAGCATTTTAAGGTTGTCTCTCGTCGAGTTAGTCAATGCAAATATATTTCAAAGTATACATTTGAAAAAAAAAACCAACACTTTTTTGACCAAATGCAAAATAAAGAATTTTTATGGAAATCGAAATCGAAATTGAAACCAACGGAAAAACTGCTTTGTATATTTCTTTATTTCAAAAAATGTATAAATGTTTTTATATTTTATTTATTAATATGATGAAACTACAATGGAATATTTGGTGCTAAGATGTATTGATTTTATGGCCTATTCGCAGTGCTGATTTTTTTTCATTCGAATGCAAAATTCAGTTTTTCTATCGACACACATGGAGGGTTGAGAGGAGTAGAAATAGTGACGTTGTACAAATATAAATGTGGAATAAGCTGGCAAATTTTGTGTGGTGCACAAACGGGAAGGGGAGAAACGACTAAAAAAAAATCGGTCGAAACCAAATTTCGGAAACAAACTGATAGATTGTGCTAAAAGTGATATGAGATTACATAAATTTCTATCTAAAAAATATGGCATTCAAATTTTTTTTTTTTAGTAAATATTGTCTAACAATAATAATCATTTGTTTCTTTCAACTTTTCGATGTGACAACACAGATATTTTACTGAATTCATGCCAAAATAAAATCAATGAGAACGGAAAAAATAGATAGAATTGCGATAGAGAGGGGGAAAAAAATATAGAAAAGAAATATGAATTTAACTTAATAAAAAAAGGAAACTAACTGACGAATTTACGTTGTTTTGTACGGGACATACTACAAATTAGTTGACTTGTTTTATGGCCTTTTGCGAAGAATGCACATTTGGTGAGTCTGTCGCCGCAGTTATGTTCTCCAATGTTCATGTTCCGATCAAATGGCGATGCTGTCGAGTATGTTGTCCAAATGAGGTTCGCATGCGCTGATGTCATCACAATCCGCCTTCATCGCAGCCATTTGATTGAAAAGGTCTTTCAGTCTTTGTTCGCCCAATGCATTACCGGCCGTTTTCAGTGCACACAAGCAATGCCATGACAAAATTTTAAAGCAACTACGCCGAACCGAATTGTGTGTCTTATTGTCCCAAACTGGTGTGGCGCGTACGACGGGCCATGCCATTAAGGTGTAGTCCAACAGTGCGTCCCAATTTTCCGATTCGTTCAATTGATTCGATTGATCGACAACGGTTTTCTTGAATGTGGCCAAATGTGTGGCGGCCCGTGAATGGCCCACCGAATCGGTATTCTTCATCAATCGTGATGTTGGCAAACTTTTAAAGATGTTTTTCTTCAATTGAATCAATTGCTCTTCCATTGGCCTAATGTCCGGGATTGGTAGATTGTTACGAACCTTTGTTTCAATAGCCGGCTCATTGTTCACTAGCTCTTGAATCACATTGATCAATTGTGATTGGGATAAACCCTTAAGGATTTTTGACAACGGCGTCGTTTGATTTTGTTGAGCAATTGGTGATTCGGTGAAACGCAACCGTTTCATTTGTGGTGTATAGGCAGATAGCGGTGTGGCGACAGTTTGTGGTGTACGTATTTTTCGTGTCGGCGATTGACCTATCGAATGAGGTGATAGCATCACACTCGATGATGCAACACTATCCAAATGTAATCGCTTGCGTGGCGAACTACGTAGAGTCATCGTTGATGTGGATTTCGTTGGTGTTCGCAGTATTGAGAGTAGTGCAGCTGTTGACGATGGAATTTTATCCGGTGACCAATTGATCGAACGACGACGACCTCTTTGGCGAATTATCACTGAATATGGAACGAAAGAGAGAGAGAGAGAGAGGGAGAGAGAGAGAGAGAGAGAGAGAGAGAGAGAGAGAGAAAGAGAACGAGAGAAAAAACATGGTTAAATCGAAAGAAGAAATACGGTTGAATTCAGAGACGAAATATTCCTTTAAAACACCAAAATCGAGTCGAATTTTTCGTGTCGCCACATTTTTTGTGGATTGAAGAAGATTTTTTGTGGAAATTGATGAATAATGGCGAGAAAACTCAATGAAATAAATAATGGAAATCCAAAGCAAAACTTACACTCATCTTGTGATGGTGATGGTGTTAAATAGCCAAGCGGAATATTGTCCAATGGACTGTCGATGACGGTTCGATTCAGAAGCACCGGCACCTCATCCGTTGACACACGCAATTGGCTCATGCGAACTGGAATTTCAGCCAAAGCTGTACGACGACGATTCACTTGTGTTGTGGCCATTTTAGTGATGTAATTTCTTCTTGTGTTGCTTTCACTCTATCTCTCGTTCAGTCTCAATGCGTTGATGTATGCTCACGATACTCCGTCCCGATGTTGTTCTTTTCTCTTGGCTCTTTGCGTGTCAACTAACCGCGAAGAATCTTGTTCCGTTGAGTGATTGCTTGATTTCAATGTGGCCAATATAATCCGGTCTAAGAAGTATTGATGTAAATTATTACATCTCCTATCGATTTAACTCCCTGGCTCTGGAAAATCATCCAAAAAGTACATGCATTTAATTCACTGAACATAACCAAGAAAGCAGAAATGTTTGAAAATTACATAGAATTTTTTTTTTTGATTGGAAAAAGATTGATAAAAATGTTCATTCGATTAGAATGAACAGAATAATCCATTGAAAACACACATTTTGGTGTCTTAGCCAATCTTTTCAAATAACATCAAAATTACAACCAAAGTAAAAAACAACACATACACACACGTTGAAAAAAACTCATCCGAAAAAAACATACTTCTACCTTTTAACAACCTGCTTTAATCCAACTATTTCACCGTACAATTTCTAAGCTAAAATTTTCTCTGTTTTATTCTATGAATTTATCTTCAAATTTCCAAATGTTTGCCAAAGATGGAATAAGAAGAGGAAAAAACAGTGCTTTGTGTTTTCGTTACGTTTCTTTAGTCCTTTGAATGTGTCAAATAAGTGGAACGCTTTGCATTTTCCCGCCTAATACCATGTTTTGTTATTATTGTTATTATTGCAACTGTTGGTTTGAAATTTTTCGATCATATTCGTCGTTGTGTGTTGTGTGTTGTGTGTATGAACGTATATATGCTGTTTTAAAGCAAGCAACCAACGGACACGTATTTGTGTGTGTGTAGTGTAGACCAAGTGACAACCGAATGAAGTTGGTTCGCACGCAATTTCATTTGAAAATGAAAAGAAGTTTGTTTCTTGTTTTTTTTCGTAATTTTTTTTCTTCATTTTAATCGTTTTTTGCATGCGTTTTTCGGATTTTGATCTGCGTTCAGGGTGTATCGTTCAAAGAGTATGTCGAATTCATGTCGAAAATTCCATAAACGTGATTACGATCAAATTCATATCAATTTGGTGCTTGTATGGCGCGAAAATCAAATTCCAATAGTCAATGTACCTGATAGTGCAGCACGGTCGGTTTGAAATTCCGAAATAAAATGATTATTTTTTCAATCATAATAATTGATCGATTGAAAAGTTAATGACATTAATTTATTGTTATTATTTTTGTCTCTTATTCTAGACTGGCGTTCAATTGGTCTGGCTGCGGCGTTATTCTGTGTCACAGTCACTTAGAAAAGACCGACAATGTGTCTGGCGCGAGAATTACGTTGATTTCATCAAAAGATCAATAAAACAAATCAAAAGAGCAAATGCCTAAGAGTGCGAGAGCACAAGAGATAACAGTCATCATGTACATGTCGCCAATGACCGACACTCAGACAATAAAATAGTAACAAAATAGTTGGCGCTCACCAAAAATAGAACAATCAATTGAACGAGTATGCGTTTCGTTAGAATGCGGCGGGTATGAGTAACACAAACACACAACGAGGGGCCGGTGATGACGGCGGCGGTGGCGGCGGTAGCAGCAACACAACAACAACAACAACGAGCAAGAAAGGCAAAGGAATACATATAAATATAGATGTATGAGAAAGTGCGAGCGGCTTGCCTTTGCCTCATTAACGAATCTCATGTGAAATTAGTTTGAATTTGGTCAATATTTTTCCCGTTCTCGTTTCGAATATGCGAATGCTCTTTTTCAATGAATTGCACTGTGCGATGACACGATGATGATTTACGGCAAATGAGAAAGGAACGGTTTTATGTGTATTGACAGCCTACACTATTGCATTGTTGTGTGTGTGTGTGTGTGTGTGTGTGTGAGAGAGAGAGAGAGAGTGATCAGCGTTTAAAAATCGCTGTGAAATTTGTATGTGACCGACAAGAATAACATAAAATGAGGATACATATTAAAATATAATCAAATGAATGATGAGCGCATGCATTTTTTTTGTCGTCGTCGTCTTCTTCTTCTTCACATTTCTCTGTCTCTCTCACTCTCTCTATCTCCCCTTGTGCACCACATTTAAGTGGTTTCATTTAAGGCAAATTATTCACGCACAATCGATACTCTCTTTTCGCGTGATGTTAATCGTGTCGATTTATTCCGAGTGTGTTTGATTTTAATTCAATTTAATGTTTGTAAATATGAATTCATGGCATTCTATTTGTGGTCACTGGTCATGGGTTCAGTGTGAAGGAAAGAAAAGAAAGAAAGGAAAAAAAATCACACCAACAGCGGGGCATCAGAAGCAATGTGCCAATTATTTATTATGGAGTATGTGTGTAATGGGTTCGCAGTACGTGCAATGAAGCATGGAGAAGAACAAGTAGTCAAGTGAGTGAAAACGTATGAAAAGACTGCATTCATCACTCATTGATTTGATCTGAATGTTGGAATGCTCGCGAACGATGGACCGAGAGGGCCGAGCACGAGCAGCCAAGTGCGTGCGCACGTCCAAGTGTGTGATTCGCATGCAATGTGTGAGATATGTGATAAGTAAAATTTACAAGTGCCAATTTTGCGCGTTATTCAAAGCCCATATTCCATTACGCGACCGATGATGATCAATGGACACAAAAGGGGGGCAAAATGAAATGAAGGCAACTTAAATGAGCCGATTCACTTTGCTTCTCCTCTCGCTCTCGCATCGCACAAGCTGAAATTCTCTTGCTCGTTCCGATATGCCACATTGGCATGGGATCGTCAACATCAGCAAATGTCCAGGGTGTCACACATCCTGTTTCCAATTAGTTAATAAATGCATAGTGGACATTTGGTGTGTATTGCATTATATAAACACAATTAAATTTTCATTGAAAGGATTATTTGCCACTGCCACGCTCTTCTTTCTCCCACTCGTCATTCTCTCTCGCTGTGTGTTCATTAATTGCAGGAAAAGAAACATAAATTGTACGAGATATATGTGTTCGTTCATAATTCGCAGGCTCAATTTTTTTTTGCTTGCTTCCTTCTCACTTACTCTCGATCACTTTTCGCTTTTATTTGAGATGATTACGCTCTGAATGCGCGCGCGAAATTCTCTCTCGATTGAGGTCAGAAGTGAATTTAGTTGTTATTATGCACGGAAATATCGTGTTCAAATGCACAGCTCGTTTTCGCTCTATTTTCCCACGGTTATGCATATATGCAATAAGGATGATGAGTTATGGACCCGATGATAATTTGTATGTACATTGTACAGGGGCACGCGGTTTGAGTGGACGAGCGATCGACTTTCGCGTGAATGCAATTCTTGTGGGTGAATTAATGTGTTAATGTCGTGGCCGCATTTGAGAGAGAGAGAGAGAGAGAGAGAGAGAGAGAGAGCGATCAACCGAAAATGTTGCAGTTACGATTGCGGCATTCCATTCGGCACCAAATTCAAAATCACTTGTTTTCGATTCGTTGAGAGCGCCGATCGTTTCATACTATACTTTTTTTCTGGTTCGGTCGCATGAACGCGCTTCGATTGATCGCGAAATATTTGTCGATACAAACACATACAAACGCGAAATTCCGAAGAGCGATTTTCGGAATTGGTCTCAATTTTATGGGAATTGTTGGGTATTTTACCATTTTAATGAGAACGCTTATTTCGTAGGACGTGCGCGCGATTTTTTTTTTTTCATTCTCTTCGCGCTTCTCAACCGCGCTTGTTGCTACCGAAATATTATTCAGCATCAACATTCATGAATGTCATTGTAACGCGCTGCATTGCATTTGACCAGGCGTCATCTATACGATACACGAGTTGATCATTGAGAGAGAGAGAAATAAAAAGCCACAACCGAAACGAACAAATGCTAAAAAGTAGCGTTGAATAATATCAAAGTTTTAACTCTCTGTGTGCTGTTTTTTTCTGCTCTTGCTACTGTTACCGATGCTGTTCGCTTTGATTCGATTGAGCTGAAATTCCTTCCGATGAATTTCGTTATTAATATTTATGAAAGTTCTTTTATGCCCCCGCTCGTCTTTTTCGGCAATGTGTGTGTGTGTGTGCCCGATTGAAACGATCGATTGGCCGCTTGCCGTTTTGTTCACAGAAGAGTGTGAAAGAAAGAGCCGCCGAGTGATCTTTTCCATTGAATATAATATGTCCGATTGAATTTTATACGGAATACAAAATGCAAAAATGTGTTGCTTAGCGGCAAACATGTAAAAACGGCGAATGATACAGGATGGGGGGCAGAAAAAAAAACAGAGCATGCGAATGAACACTTTCTGCATTTTTCGGGACGGTCGCGCACCCGCAATGCAAACAACCAATACCGCGCCAATGGGACCTTTTTTTTCCTCGTTCGGTTCACACCAAGTGCCGCAGATCTCAGAGAGTGATTTGTGAGTAAAAATGAGTGAATAGCAACAGCGGAATCTTTTTAGTTCCTTTTATTCGCCTTCTAAAATGACCTTTGTGTGCATCGTTGTGAACTACTTTTTCTCAACTGTTTAGTTTTTTGCTCGGTCAGTGCCGATTTGGGTGTGTGACCAGGCGATTATTTGATTTTCAAATGAAAACCATGACACATCCATTAAGCACTTCATTGCTCGCATATGCCACATTTCCCGCGAACCTCAATTTTGAATTGATAATGTCTAACAAAACAATTGTGCGCTCTCGCGCGACAATTATCTCAAGGGGGATAGCTAGGAACAAAAAAGAAAGTACACGATAGTTTTTCGTCTCTCTGACCGAATCCAGATTGATCATGAAGTTGAAACGGCAATTCCGAAAAAGTGTCACACACTAGATATTTCCATCCGGATCAACATACATCTATGTCAATTGGGCGCACGCCAATCTGCACTAAAATGTATTTGCAATGGAAAAATTGTTTATTTTAAGCGAAGTGAAGCAAGTGTGCGGGCGCGCACATCATCCTCTCACACACACTACATACAACCAGAGAATAGAAACGAAGAAAGAAAAAACTACACTGCAACAGAAAAAAAAGGACAACAACAACAAAATCGCGCGCTGACGAAGATGATGATGAACCAATGCGCTATAAAAATGTATTCGACTCGATAAATAATCAGTCTCATTCATGGTTCAATGTTTAGCTAATGACGAAATTGCATTTAACCTTGGTTTAGTCGCACATATTTGCGTGCTACTGGCAGTAGCCGGTCGCCATAGTGGCCGATACATAGAGAGCGCAGGCTCTCTGTGTATTAGAGAGATAGATGTATCGGTTTTAATGGCTCTAATGGCTGGACTTGTATTTTGTTGCTGCTTCATTCGTGCGCTCGCGCCACATAAATCGAATTGAGCTTTTGGATGAGCAAGAGTGCGAGTGCAAACCGTTTACGTCTAAACTATCATTTTTGTTTTTCCTTTCTACGTACTTGTTCTCACTCAATCTCGCTCTCTTGCTCTCGCTCACAGTTCATTTTCACACGAATTGATTTGAATATATGTTGTTGTTGTTGCTCACGGTGGGCTCACCGAGCCTCGATGATATCACTTTCCCTTTCTTTCGCGCTATTATTCTGTCCTTGACCGTACCTCAATAACAAGTATTCGTGTACAAAAACGCAATAGCGTTATCAACAACGGCAACGTACAATAGCTACTCTATGATGGGCTCTCTAAAATGTTGTGCGAACATGTATGATCGGCACTCGTCAACGCGAGATGAGCGTATGAGCGCACTCACGCGCCCGGCCAGAAAGAGAGAAGTCACAGTTTCAGAAAATTAAGGCGACCGAAAAAAATAAATAAATAATTGTGATTTTTAACGACTGGAGCAGAGCAAACAAAAAAGAGAGCGCAACAAGAATGGCGAAAAAACGCACATACACAAATCATACACAGCTACGTACAGATGAACGGAGGAGCATGACTTTAGACTCACAATGATTGCATATAATGATTCAATTCAATGATTTATTGCTTTTGATGTTTAGCCCGATTTCTAAGTTTTTTTTTCTGTTGTGATTGTTGCTGTTGTTATTATTATTATTATTATTTTTTGTTGTTGCTCGCTCACTTCTTCCCGTAGCCTCATCATCATTGTCGTCGTCGTCGTCGTCGTTGTCGCATGATGCGACTAAATCAAGATTCTATTTACTAACCGATGATTGCAAGCCGTTTCTTGACTTATTTTTATTCGCGCACACAGTACACAACGTACAGTACACAGCGTGCAAAAAGAGAAAGCAACAAAAAAGCAACACCGCCAACGACACAAAATTGCCGTGATTTGACAGATTCACAAGTTCAAGGCATCACATCTTCTATGCTGATTGTTATATTAAATGTGAACGACCATCGCTCTCGTGTTGTTGTTGTTTTTTTTTTTGTTGTGTTTGCTGTTGTTCGACATCAAACCCAAGGCATCCGATACACATATTCGCATATGGCGAACGCAATACGCGCGCGCGCACACCCGCACTCTCATAACAATCCATAAAGAGCTAATAAATCTTTTAAGTGCGAAAAGACATTACTAGCTTGGTAAATGCCCTGATAAACTGACTTTAATGAGAGCCCATGATCTTAATCTTGTTTTCCCTGGTGTGCGCGCCAACGAGCGCAGTGCAATGCATTTACGTCATATTCTCATTCATATTGGCCTTTTTCGTAAACAATATCGATCGACGACTCTTTTACGGACACCATCAAGTGGCAACCGCATTCACAGAGATCATTGCATTTAGGCGACTTGTTTTTGGCCACCAATTTAACATCGGCTCAATGGCTCATCCAACTCATTTAATCCGTCTCATCAGAGAGCTCATTTATCTTTCTCCACAGTTTGCACCATGAATTTTTTTTTCATCGTTTCGGGTCACGGCTCAACATTTTAAATGGACATCTGAATCATTAGATGACAACATAATTTGTTATTGCAACTTCGTTTCGAGTGACGCATTTTTGTTTCGCATACAACACCAACGAACGAAAAAGAGAAGAAAATAATGACGACCGAAGAGAGTAAATCCAAATTCCAAATTAAATCAAATCAAAAGTATGATCAGGAAATTACAAGAATTTAAGGCAATGATGAATTGCATCGAATCTGTCAACAAGCAACGCGAGTGAGAGATTGATAGAGAGTTTGAATTGACCAACAATCTTGAATTTTCTCGCAACGCGCCTTGATGCTAAGAACGGCCAAAAATGCTCAATTACTCGTCATTCACAAAAAAAAATGGTCATTTCAATGCATCCACAATTTGGCAAATTATGCGATTTTGATCGCATGGAAACCATTCAATTGAATTGTGGCCATTCTTTTAATGGATCCCATCTATAAGAGCAGCTAATAAGAATGGGCTTTTTTGTTTGTTTCGACGCTTGTTTGTTTTTGTTTTTTGCTTTCTTCTCTATGCTCGACAGTAGATCACATGGGAAGCTCTTGAGTTTCCACTTCAATTTATGTGCTATTGCTTTTGTTTGTCTAAAAAAAAAATTTCTGTTTCGTACATGTGTTCAGTCGTATAAATGTGATATTTCTCTCTGAAAGCAGTTAAATAAAGCTCTAGGACTTGATATACATGCCTAAATTATCCGCGTGTGCAGTCTATTACGAATGTTAAATGTAAAATAGAAGCACCCACGTGCGCCGCACTCATCGAATTTGATGAATCCACAAAATGCGCATGTTCAACTCATTTCCATGTTGAACTTTGAACAGAGCATATTGCATGTGTGTGGGTGATGCAAAGGATGAAACGTGTGCATCGAAGCCTAGCATTCTAGCTCCTTTTTGACCGTTTTTTTTCTGTTCTTTTCCTCTCTTATTCTACTTTCTCAGCAACAGCAAGATCATCTGCATACTAAACGATTATAAAATTTATCGAATTCACGAAAAACCTGGCAAACTTAATTTCCATGCCAAATCGTATACATTTCGCGATGAACAATTTAAATTGATGCACAGCGATGCAAAAGAACATGAGCTGCTGTTGACGACAATGTTAAAAGAAAAGAAGCCCGTTTTGAAAGGTGCTTTCTTCGAAGATTTTTTCATCGAATTTGATTTGTAGAGAGAAAACAAATATTGGAAGAAAATGTTTCTTTTGTAGGAAAAAATCACTGGCAGAAATGTGGTAATTTCGACAAAAACAATTATATACGCATATATTGTGATAGTGGCACAATCAATAAACAATTCGCCAGTCTTCTTTGATCTGGACGCAGAACAATAAGTCAATCAAATACTTATCCATTGAAAGTGGCTTTTCTTATGCTTATCCATCTTCATTGCGGTCACAAGTTGTGACACACCAGGACACAAGTGGCTGAAATACTTCAAAATATTGATAAATAAAACGATCGATCGGTTTTTGTTGTTGTTTGGAAAGTAAATTGTTGTTTGATTATTATTTAATACATTTTCAAAATTAGTTGCGACAATTGTAACAAACGAATAGAAAAAATACAAGTAAAGAAGAGGTTAAAGAGAAATTATAAATGAAAAAAAAACATGTGGATTAATTATTATAGGCCATAATTAGTTAAATATCAAATCAAATCGTAATAAATATGTTTTCATGACTTGTTAATTTGTTTGTTTATTCACCTCTGTCTCTTATCTCTTTCCTTTTTTCATTCGTTTCAGCGTCTTGCTCTACTATTCATCCACCCTACTGATATCATATAAAAATAATTACTAAATAGAAAATGTCGTGTAAAAATGCTAGAAAAATGCGAATACTCTCTTCAGTTTTTGTTGTTGTTTACAATTGTTGTTTTGTTTTTTTTTTTCACTTTTTGTTCACGTATCGTATTTATATCGTTTATTTTTTTTCCGTATGTAAATATTCTCAGTTGCATTGCATTGCTTCACGCTTCGTGTTTAATCAAAGGAGAATGAATAAATTCAATTCTCATATCGGATGAAAGTAGTAAGTTCATGTTATCTTTAAGTTATTCGTCATTTTGTTTGTTGCACTGAGTTTTCTCGCTTTCTTTCTGAATCTCTCTTCCTGCAACTCGACTGCATCGGCTATTTTTTGTGACGTAGAATGTTGGTCTCTTTTCTTTCCTTCTTGTTTTTTGAACAACAGTATGTGGATAATAAATGGGGATGATTCGGTGTTACAAATATGCAACGACTGCTAGTGTCGAACGTAAATGCACGTAAATGCTGCATAATATTAAACTCACCCATTAATTTTTCATTGTTTTCCTATTAAGAATGGATGCGTTTAGTATTATGTGACTTGACACTAGCAGTCCATGCAAATATGCCATTAATAATCATTTAAATTGCAATCATTTTTCCAACACAACTCTGCGCGCATAAAATGTCTCACATATGACTCGATGATGCATGCCCTCAAATGGATGCACTCAATATGTTAAAAAAAAATCGCTTTGTATTGGTATCAAAAATAACCCGTGTGAAAAATTTGTGACTGACTAGCCAGCCGTCTAATTTCGGACTTTTTGGCTGACTATCAGTAACTAAAAGTGATTATCTCGAACAAAATATTCGACTGTAGTCAACTTCAGTTATGGTCATCTAGTAGCCAAAAAGTCCGAAATTAGACGGCTGGCTGAAAGAATAACTAAAAGTGATTGTTTCTATACAACATTCTTGAATTCAATCAACTTAGCCAGTTTTAGTTATTTGCAGCTACATACAACTGAATGACTGTCAGTCACTTTATTTGCACACGGGAATTGCTTAGTTATGAGAAATGTTGTGCAAACTAAACGGCATACCCATTGTAACGAGGCACACTCTGAAATCATTAAATCATTCATTTTCTTCTCCTACTACGATCTCCCAAAACCCCAAATCTATTGAGACGAATATACATTTTATCGTACCTAACCGAAACAAAAAATGAAATGGTATACAAAAGAAAACATTAAAATCATGAACGAAAAAAAAAACAGAACCAGTTTAAAATCATATAAAAAAAAGTTATGTCCTGTAAGAAAAATCGTATCTTGGATTAAATCAAAGACTTTTCATTCGTCTCTTTCGGAGATCGCTTATTGTCAGTTCATCACGAACTGTTCTATTCGTTATAGTATGAATCACGTTTCGTCATCGAGTATTACATTGTATTCTCCATCCTGCTAAAATGTTTTGGTTTCGCACGGCTTATTGTGGAAAGAAACAAAATTACACTCGAAGTAAAGAGAACAATAACGAAATAACGGAAGAATTTTGGCGCAAAAGATAAATGGTAGAGAAAAAGAAGAAGAAAGAAATTCCGAAAAAATTTCGAAAATAGATTCCAATTGCCGAAAATTCAATATGATCTCATACCATTCCATTTCAAATGGCCATCGAATTTTTACACGTGGCAAAATAATTATTACATTGCACAGAAAAATTATAGACAAAAAACCATTTGGACGAGTATCAACTCTGCATTCATAGTGCATGAATCAGATGTACTGAAATGATAATTTTGGATTTGCATTCATAAATGATAATTTATGGGAGAACCTGCGGAGAACAAAGTTCGACAGCAGAAAAAAGAAGAAATTATTCGAAAACATTCGATCGAGTTGCAGTTGGTTTTCAAGGCTGATTTCCAAACTGTAGCAATGAATATTATGATTCAAAACATTTAGAACATGTCAACAAGAAACAAAAAAAACATTTTGAATGCGCAGAAAAAGCAGTCCTTAAATCAAAATCAAGTTATATAAACACTTTTCGCCTAAAGATCACCAATTTGGAAAAAAAAGATCAACCACATTAAAAAGAGAGAATCCAATAAAAAGAATGTTCTTAGTGGCTTTGGCTTTGGCAAACAACGAAGAAGAAGAAAAAACGGTTAGCATTTTGTCGAGTTTTCTTTCCATTTAATCAGCTTGTTTGTTTAAACAAAAGAAAAAAGTTGTACACAGAGAGAGAAATAAAAAAATAAAAACAAAAGTGACTAAGTTAATAAAACTGAATTGTATTTGAACGAAATTAAATGAATACCAAAAATAAAGTAGTAGTAGTTGTAGTAGAAGAAGAAGAATAAAAAAAATTATATTTCAATAGTTGTGTGTTTGAAGTAGTAATATTAAATGTTAAAAGACAACGTCTATCTTAAATCGTAAGCTCTACGAGGGGTAGGATATTTGCGTTCGTTCGTTTGTTTGGTAATCTGGCAAGGCGCGCGTATACAATTCACTTGTTCCATTGTTTTGTGTGTGTGTTTTTTCTTTCTTTAAATATAATATTTAGTTATAAATACCTACCTATTCGAGAGAGCTAGTAAAAAGTATATATGTTTGTGTATGGATTCGTTTTTGTTTGTTTTGCATTTTGTTTTTTGTTTTTTTTTTTAATGGAGTAAAATATCCCAAAACGTCGATCCGAAATTCGGATGTGTTGTCAGATCGCAATGTTCGAACGGACAACAGAAACAGACAAATGTTTTTTTTTTTTTATTCATTCCTAATCCAAAAAAGAACGAAAAGTAAATTTAAAATCTACTATAGTTCTCTTAAATTAATATAGTAGCTATTGGGTTGAAATTTAATCGAAAAGAGACAGAAAAAAAATCATAATGACGAACAAATTAGAAAAGCAAAAAAAAAAAAAAAATTAGGAAAAAAATGTGTCGTGTTGTAGTAGTAAATTGGTCTGTCTTGACCCACTCTCCCCCATTTTGACTGTGTCTGCTCTCTCACTTTGCCATATTCTAATAAATCTTCCTACGAATAACGATACTGTATATTTACGCTAATTTAAATAATGTACAATCGCATACACATTATGACATGATGGATGTCTCTGTTTTTCTCTCTTTGCTCTCCAGTCCCGAAATCTCTATCTCTTTACTATATTTACTCAGTGTTTTTTTTTTCATCTCATTCTCTCAATATTTCTTTCATATTTTTTCTTTTCTTTTCGTTATTTCTTATTTTTGTTTGTTTAGTGTTTATGCTAGTTGTTTTGTTGTTGTATCTGTTTTGTTTGTTTGTATTTGTTGTTCAATGGCAAATGCGGTCAATTTCCTATGCGCAACCGCACTTCTCTACAGCCATATTTGGTATAATGCTATGAATTACATTTTTATTATCATCAAAATACAAAAGACTTAACGGTGACAATCGCCGTGGCGAGCAGCATGATGAAAACGATGAACTCAACGAATAAATGTACGTGTGCGGATGCTTTGGCAAAAAACCGATCGGACATTCACCGGCACAATAGTATGCTTCGTAAATATCGGGCGCAATAATCCAATCCCATCCAAATTTACGAAAATCAACGCGCAAAGGATACCGACAGCATCGCGACTGTCTCTCATTTTCCCGACAATCTTTCGGCAAATGACGTTTTGTGCGATGCTTACGCATGTCTCTCGTCTGAATTTCAATGTAAGGCCGCTGCCCGTGCACCAATATCGTCAATATCAGCACCGATATATCGTGGTCGTCGTCATCGTCGTCATCGCCGTCGTTGCCGCCATCAATTCAGAGAGATGCGCCAATATCCAAACGCATCACACGATCATCAATCGAGAAAATGAAGCGTGAGAACGGGAAGAATCGGCAAACAGATCACAAGAAGATGAGGCAGCAGCAACAACAGCAGAAGAGAAAAAAATTGTTCGTTCGTTCGGTTCGTTTGCAGCAACCAGTAACGAAAGAGAAAGAAAGAAGAACACACACAGGAACAACAAAAAATACATGGAAGAAAGAAAAAGAGAAGAAAAAAAAACACACAATAAAAATAAACGTTTTTATAGTTTTTAGATATTAAAAGCATTCATTAATGGGCTTGCGCAGTGTGTGCATGATTGGACGATGGTATTGACGGCTATTGTAAATGATTAATGCCGCTTCATCTGATCTATAGAGGCGCAACATAGAGCAAAACACAAACACACAACACATGCACACACCGTGCGCGCGCGCGCTCGCTCTCGCACAAAAACAGAAACTGTTTGGTTTTTGTTTCGTTTTGTTTTCGAAAAATGAAAATTAAAAGGGAAACAAAAAAGCACGTATTGAACAAGGAGAGAGAAGAAGCGGTGCTGAACTTACATTCTTTGAATTGGTATCCAATACTAGTAGTTGGCGCATCCATGGCTCCAGCGTTTTAATAACCACTTCTTGAACGATATCTGCCGATTGAGTATTCACTGATTGATGCTTTTGCTGTTGAATCCACTCGCTCACCATCAGCGTTATATTGAATTGAATCCATTCGCCAGCGCCTTTGGGTATTTCACCGACAAAATTGCTATCGATGCGCGTGTACCTTTGCTGCTGCTGCTGTTGCTGTTGCTGCGCTTGCTGGTTTGTTGGTTGAGCCGCTTTTTTCGATTGTTCCTGTTCATTGGTGCTTTGCTATTTTTATTGTACAAAACGAAAATGCAGAACTTGTTCAATATAATTGGTTTCATCATCGGGCCTCTGTTCTCTCTCTGTTATATGAGCATAAGTTTAAAATGTGTAAGTGATTGTATATGGAAATGTTCGTATCTCCCACTCCACACACACACTCTCTCTCTCACACTCACACACACTTTGTCTTCTGGGTTTTTGGCCTCTTTTTTTTATTTTCCTCTCGAAAATTATTACATGCAAACGTGCCGATTCTCACATTATCTAATGCAGAAACATAATCTTAACTATTACGATGCAGATCAGATGCATGATACCCGATCATTTTATCATTATTGGTTCGTTGTGTAAGCACTGCGGCTTCATATTGACGAGAGAGTGAATGTAAAAGAAAATTGATCGCGCAAAATGCGATAATAAGCATGGGCTGCTAAATAGCCGAATACCGATAGCACTCGCTGATCTCACTCAAAGGATAAGAAGAGTGTGTGGAGATGAATTTAGATGGATGGCTCGATTCATTCTCTTCTCGTCAAAAAAATTGTTTCTTTCTTTTCGCCGTTTTTTTCATCTTCTGTTGTGGTTTTGCTTCTGCTCTTGTTCGAGAAATGCTCATTCTCGGAATAAAGCAATAATAACGTTTAACAACTTGTTCGGCGATGGCCAATGCATTTAGCGTGTGTTTAGATGTGCGATTTTTTTTATTTCGTTGTTGTTTCAAACAGAAAAATGATGATGCATTCGCTTACCTGTTGCTGATGGCGATGTATAAAACGGTTTATGGAAATTGATATATGGTTACTGTTGACATTTTTGCTATGGAGCTTGTGTAATGATTCGCTGGATGTGTGCACATCTCGGTTAGTCGGCGTTGTTATTGTCGTTGACGATCCTGCTGCCATGTCATCGGTGTGCTGCATACCACCACCCGCATTACTTCTGCCACTGCTACCACTACTACGTTCATTTTCAGCCTTCCAATCCTCACCACGCACAAACATATTGAATGTCGCACCACTTACGAATAAATTATTTGTGCTCTTGATGGTAAACTCAAGGATATCACCACGATGCCGCGCTTTTGATACTGTTGGAAAAACAAACAAACAAACAAACCAATCGATGAAATTAATGGTATTTTGGAATACATTTCGATTTCTAAACTGTATGGATAGCTAATGCATACCGGTCATTTTTTTCGTAAATGGCTAGATTTCATGAGAAAAATAGGTAAGTGCTCAAGTTATGCAAGGGAAAACTGCACAAATCGGATAAAAGGCAGTAATAGCGATGATGAATTGATAGAGAGAGGGAGAGAGAGAGAGGGAGAGAGAGAGGGAGAGAGAGAGGGAGAGAGAGAGGGAGAGAGAGAGATCGATGCAATAGATCAGTGGGCGCGTTTTTATATGCTTTTCGTGATCGGCAGCCCCAAAAGATGGAAAAAATTATATAATTGGTATTTCAAGTCGATGCTTATTTTCTTCTTTATTCTCTCTCTTTCTCTCCCATTTCAGTGTATAGTTTAGCGCACAGCAGCCTAACATTCACACAATTTGACGTGGAGATCTTTGTGTCACACATAGAAATCTCTTTGTGAGATTACGATATTGGTTCATGTCCAACGGCCTCTCTGTCATTCATAAATGAACTACCATTTGTCTATTTGTTGCAATATATACCAATTGCCTGGTAAGAACCAATCATGTGTATGATATTTGCAAAGAAACATTTCTGTAAAACAACTCCTGCACCTGAGATTGTGTAAAAGGTTTATATACAATCAAAACTATAGACGAAATAATTCTATTTCATGTGAAAATATTTTGACTGATTGACTGACTGCTTTAATCGTTGAAAAATGATTCAATTCACGGATAGTTTTGAATTTTTTTTATTTGAAATTTTATATAAAAAATGATCGGTTTGTGACTCATACTTTCGCTCGATTTGGGACATTTTGAATGAAGAGTAACTATCAGGCGACTATAATTGCTCTCTGAGTTCCATCACATGGAATGATACGTGTGACGGCATATTTTTACACGGAACTTCGTTCCCAGTGCACCGAGCACTTGCTATATATAGAGCGAACGTATCCGAATATTAGAAACCACACGTTATTACATGTAGCTAGTGCTCGGCGCACTGGGAACGAAGTTCCATGTGAAAATATGCCGTCACACGTATCATTCCATGTGATGGAACTCAGAGAGTGAAGTTAACTACAATCGTGTATTTTGTTCGATATTAAGATATATTATTGTTCCATTTTAAGTCGGTCATTAGCCAGCCAAAATGTCCAAAATCAACCGACTGGTCACTAATCTACACAGTAGAGTGTACACAGAGAGACTTATCAGTGACAAATTGTCACACGGAATTTCTATAAATTAACGAATTTCAAAAATTAGAGTCATTTGGTGTATATCACCGAATCATTCTCGTTTTAATGATAAACGAGTCAAGTTTCGACCATTGAATCTGACTGAAAACGAGCTAAGTTTCTTAAGTTTAAAACATAAATTTTATCATCTTCTCATCGGAAAGCTAGCTGAATCGTGGATTTGCGAATAAATTGCACGCTGGATGAATCTGTGCGATATTTTATTGTTGGTTTGATTGTGTGTTTCGTTTTTGTCGCGCTGCATAAAAGTGCGCCTTCGGGCGCCATGCATTCATGATAAATGTATGGTTGTGAAAATCCCATACACATATGTATCAAAACATATATCGGTTACAATTACAATCAATTTTCCAGTCTTCATTTTTACGTTTTCTTTTTTTCTTTCTTCTTTTTAATTAAATTTACTTTGGAAATGTTCAATATGCTAATTAATCGGTTTGAGGCTGCGGGCGATCGAGAGAGTCGATTATAAATTGGCTTAAGCTGGATGCGTTTTGGGCGAAGCTATCTCTCTCTCTCTCTCTCTCTCTCTCTCTTGCCATTTGCATACACGTTGCACATGCATGTCGTAACTCTATATTTCTGCAGTGGTCGATTTTAGCTGCTAGCTAATTTTTGTTGATGTGTGTGTGTGTGTATGTGTGTTTTTCTTTCGTTTTTATTTCTCGCTCGTATAACATTCAGGTTTATTTGGAGTAGTCAATCAAATGGCGAGAGTAGGTGCGTTTCTAAGTTGAAAATATATTCCGATTCTCTCTCCATCTCTCTATGCTTTGGAAATGTTCGTGTTTCATAAGTTTTTACGTCCCTCATTCAAAGAAAGAATATTCGAATCTATTGTTAAGCCACAAGAATGATCTATCTGAAATTCCAATAATGATGATGAAATGCACATGTCAAGGTTTTTACAGAAATTGGTTGGAAACGATATAGCGGGAACGGAGAATGAATGCTCACGTAGAAAAAGGCGTTTTATTTTCTTCACAATTTGGAGATAAAAATGAATTGAGGTGGTTGCCCTGGTTTAAACACCGAAATTATAGCAAGAGCTTTGACAGTTCTTTTTCTGGCATATTTTTTCTCGTTCGCATAAATTTCAATCTTTCTATCGTGTATGTGTGTGAATCTGGGATTTCTTCAGTATTTTTGAGCTGAAAATGGAGAAATTGTTTCGATAATTTTGCAATATGCACACGAACCGACCGATCCATTCTCTTCAGTTTGGCATTCAAGTATATGAGGGTGGATGATTATTTTTAAAAAAAATTTTTCTTTTCATTTCGAAATTTGATCGTAGAATATTCGAGTCCTGTACGTGTTTTTGTGCGGATTTTTCTGTTTTGTCGAAAGCTAATGGTGAATATGGTGGAGCTGTGTAACGGAAAAAGGATAAGTGCTAATTCGTTTCGTCCGCCACATGCACTTCATTTTATGCATTTTTGCCGAAGCAGCAGTGGAAAAAAAATCTACCGTTGATTATGAGGGTGGTTTATGTTTCAGCGATTTTAGCGATAATGTTGCGCTTGTATATTGTCTTTCCATTGTTCCCGTTCGTTTTTTATTTTGTTGTTGTTGCAGGAAACAGGATCGAAGTAAAAAAAAAATATATATATGCAGAAAGCACGAGCAGAATGAACAAAAAAAAACGCCAAACGAAAATTTAATAGGCGAAACTGATCGATCGAATTCAACCCATATACTTCATTCATTAGAATACACTTGAATTTAATTTCGCGAAGGGAATGAATGAAACAGAAAAAAAAACTAATGTGGTATGAAATGTTCCTCCGTCTTTTCCACTTTTTTTCTTTTTCGTTTCGTGTCGTTGTTCGTTTACGATATGAAGATTTACGGTATGTGTAATGGCACTGGATAGATGGATGGATGGATTGGTTGAGTCCCGCTGAACCAGGCAAAATAGTGCGAAACAGAGACAGGAGGATTGATTTATTTTCTTTGTGTCTTTCTGTGTAATGTTCCTGCATTAACTAAATATATTTCTCTCTCCCTCTATCTCTATTTCTCTCTCCCGACCGAATGACTATAAATTATATAATCCCCAGACATAAACGCATGCACACGCAAACATTGCGAAATGAAATTCACAAAACAACGAAAAATATACAGAATATTTTGAACGAAAAAAAGAAAGAAACAACAACGGAGAAATAGCGCATTGGGCGCACAATGAATAAAAGAAAGCGAATGCATTCAAGGGTTTCTCACTATGTCCAAACCATTTTGCATTCGGCTGCTGCATTTCGTTGTCAATTGCCGAGCAATTTTTTTTTGTGGTCGTTGTTGCATTCACATTGGTGTATTTTTTTTGTTTTTCAATATATTTCATATAAACGCATGTTGGGAGTGAGAGAGCCTTGAAGGAAATTGACGAGAGAGAAAAAAAACGACAACAACATTGTGAAACACATATGTAAAATAATACACATTATACTTGCAATTTTTGCACTCTTCTCCCTTTCGACATTAAATCGTTAGATATCAACTAACAAACAGTAAAATAAATTGAACCCTTTTTAGTGCAAGCAGCTCGTCGTAATGTTATTTTTTTTCGTCGTCGTTCTTTTTCGTCAGCCTATCACAATACACGGAAAAAAAAAAGAGAAAAAAAGCTGAGGAGAATGAAGAAAAAAAACCGACTAAAACACTCACATAACACGTTTAACTGACAGAATATATCGTTATAAAGAGATTCACAAACGGCACCGTATGTGATCGAAAAGAAAATAATACAACAACTTCACAAGGATAGTTGTTACGGTTCTTTTATACGAATATATAGTGCTCATTGTGTGTTTTTCTATCTCTTTTGTGCGCCATGTTCTCAATATTGAGCCCATCCTGTTCGAGCTCCTTCAGATTTTGTTGTGTTTATTACTTGGTTTCACTTCGTTTCGTGAAAAAATAGCGAAATGCGTGTGTGATATTCGATTTTTTTTTGTTCACGTAATTTCCAGCGAACCTAAATATAGAATTCACCAAGTGCATATTTGAAAGAAGGAGAAGTAAACCAACAAGGAATTGTATGCACATTTACAAATTTAACTCGCGTACTTTACTCGATCTCAATTTTTGCCCGAATAGTCACTGTCTCTCCAAATGACAAATCGTCTTTCTTTCACTCTCTCTTTCAATCCCCCCTTTGTTCGGTTGTGTTTTATACTCTATTTGGATTATAGGACATCACGTTAACACAATTGTCTTGGCTTAATGAATCATTTAAAGAGTGTGCACGCAAAAATCGCATGCGGGTACAATGTTCAAATATGTTTTGCTTCTCGCCGTTCACGGTGCTTCTCTAGTGTGTGTGCGTATGTTTTTTGTTTAGATTTGACCAGGCACCGGGCAAAACATAAATTGTTGTTTATTTGGCTTCGATGTGATAGAGTCATATTCTGCGAATTGATATGAGCAATGCTGCGTGAACACTGACAATTGTGAAACGCAATTGAAACATACGAAAATGCACACACAGCACACACAGCACATTACTTCATATTCCACCTTTAATTAGGCATTTCGTATAGAGATTTAATTGAACGTAGAAAGAAGATCGCATTAGACGAGCGCGCGCGCGCTCGCGCTTGTGTGTTTTGACGTTTTTTGTTGTCGCTTTTGCAATTTGTGTAATTAATATGTGAGCAGACAAAACAAATGTGTGTGTGTGTGTGTGTGTGTCTGAAGCAAATAAAAAAAAGAGAAACTCACCCGCCGCCGGCAGCCGGTTTTTCTTTCTCGAAAATAATACGCACACTTCTTGTGAAGTGCTACTAAACCAAATATCAGGATTCGAGTAACTAGCGTCAAAACAATCGAATTGGAATCATTATTTACAGTTCAGATATGTGTACTGAATGCTCTTCGGTGTGCAATGTCACCAATTTGCATCAAATCGTTCGAGATTTGTGAGTGATTTTCCGTGTTGCGTCATTTGTGAACGAACGCACTTTGTATAGCCGTTGAAATTATGTTGATCGTCAACGGCAGCAATGGCAGTAGTGCCGTGTGCTCGATGGCAGGAAACATTTTCCCTATTTACGGTGCTGTGTGTGCATTTACATTGCGTTGGCCAAACCGTGATTACCAAACAAGGCTGAAGCCGTCATAGACGCACTCACTCATTCATTCATTTTCCGGTGTGCAAGCGAAACACACACACACACATTTCTGCGCAATATTTTTCTTCTTCGGTCATATCTCGGTGAGTATACATATCACCACGACGAAGTGGTACACTTGATACACTGCAAAATAGTCACTCATGAATATTGCACACATACGACGGAGCTGTTGATGTGCAAGCTAGCGCGTGTACCCAATACACACATTGATGTAACAAATCGAAAAAACGACGAACGGAAAAGTCCACACAAACACATTTTGCATATGAATAACGGTATGATGCACTTGCGACTTACCGACAGAGTGACTCTTCCAAAAATAAATATTGTCAATCATTTCAAGAAAACCAAAACATGAAAAAAAAAATTGAGATTGCTCGATTATCGCTTGAAACGATGCGCGATCCCCGCAATCACCACGCAGCATCAGCCACTTCTTCTTTTCACCGAATAAATTTAGAGCAACAGTCGATCGGCTTGAGACGACACAGCAAGGCAGCGACAGTGAGTGAGAGAGAGAGAGAGAGAGATGAGAGTGTGAAATAGACGGATAGAAAATGAGAGTGAGCAAGTGTATGTATTGCACATGAACACGGTCGCTTAAACGACCCAACAACATTGTTGTCAAATGGCTTGTAACACAATCCGTCGGGATTGGAATTGGGATTCGTCGTGAGTCACACATAATATTCCGTCGAAACAGCAATGTATGTGCATTGGCTATGACAAAAAAAAATATTGCATATGAATGATGCATTCGACGTTTTATTTCCTCGGAATTCATTACGCCAAGAGGGAGCGAGAGAGAAGGGAAAAAGGTAACGATCAAATTGCCGCATCATGTAGTCTTAATGAAAAATTGCCACATAAAAAAATATCAAAAACCCAAATGTTGATAAGTCGAACAAAAGCCGAGACACATTCAGCTAATGGGCATCGTCCGTTGTTTGTTCCTTTTTTCGAAATTTTCATTTCGAATTCGTCACAAATTCTTTGAAACGGTGCATTTGAAGCAGTAACGGCAGCAGCAGCAGCAGCATCATTATGCATTTTGTGAATGAAAAGCGACCGATTGAAATGAATGCGGCTCTCCTCATCTAGTTCACGGTATTTTTTTTGGAATAATTGCGACAAGACAGCGAAACTAAATCATCGGAATCGATCCAAATCGAACCCTTGAACAGATGGCAGATGCACACGAATCAAATTCAGGATAATAAAAATCCGTTTTTTTCTTCTTCTTCTTCTTCTCGAATTGTATTGACCCAAATAAAATAGAATTAAAAAACAAGCCCCAATTCGATTCGAAATGAGGAATAGATAAAAAAAAGGATATAGTGTTGCTATCTCACTGTCACGGTGCAAACAAATTACTACCTCTATGACGATGGAATTTATAAGTGCATACCGATTGAAAAATTGGATTATAACGCGCTTGGACGAAAATATCACACGATTTGATACACAAGAAGAAGACAAAACAACAACAACAACAACAACCGAGTGATCAACAGTTATATCAAAATAAAAATGGGTAAAGAAAATAAAAAGCAATTCTAGAACAATAAACCGAAACAAAAGTGCATGCGTTGAATGGAGCACAACAATGGGATAGCAGCAAGTCGCATTGTGAACACACCGTGTATATTACATTGAGTATGATTAGGTGTGTGTGTGTGTGTGTGTGTGTTTGTGACGGCATAAAACGAAATGCACGAAAAAGTGGAATTTTAAAATGTCAGGTGGTATGCCTTGCATGTGCATGGAACTACGCCACGCTGTTATGCGTGTTTTAATTTCATTTGGAAAACACATTCATTTTTTAAACACTCAATATTGATTTTCTCTTCCTTTATTTTCCCTGTAAATTGTTGCAGTGTGTTGTTTTTTTTCTTCTTCAACCGTGTGTGTTCCTCACTGCTTTGTTTCTTCCTCCAATTTTTTTTTGATCGATCAAAATGTTGAGATACGCAGACAGATGTCATCATTTTACTCAATTCACTTTCTTTTTATAACAGTAACAATAGCAGCGAAAAAAACACAACATTTTTTTTTTATACAGCAATTTGAATGCCAATGTGATGAATAGAAAAATCTAGAGATTTTTGCGTGTATCGTGTATACGTTGGCATTTATCGGTCTCGTTTGAATCGCGAATTCATTGCAAATTACTTAAATCTCCTCATGCCAACCATACGACAGCTGACACGAGAGCTATCAAATTTTTGTATTTTTTCTTCTTCTCTAGCTTCTTAAAACATTGAACATAAAAAGTTACCTTACGGCCACTAAATAATGCTGACGATATTGAACGAACAATATTGGAGAGAAAAATAAAATCATAAAAATGTGGTGTAAACTTACGTTTTGGAAATGAATAAATGACATCGGTGGTTGAATAAAAGGCTTCATCGTTTTCTTCGGCACTGTCATACGACATGTCATCGTAATGATTGAATCGGGTTGATGATCGTGGCTCATCGAAATAGTCCATTTTATAAACGATTCCACCGCGATCACCGTCATAATCTTCGCTGAAGTCGTTTTCGTGTCTGTGGGGTGTGAGAATTTGTTATCATTTTAGATTAGTGATTTTGTCATGAATTTGCAGATGAAAATTGAGATTTTCTTTTCGAATAAATTCAGTTTCACATCGGTTTTTATTACAATCACATAAGATTTGTCTGATCGATTTTGTGTCGTTGACTCAAAAAGCATATCATCGACTATGACTGATGGTTTTTGATCGAAATTTTCTTGATATAACGATAAAAAATGAGTTAAAAAATTGTACCTCGAATGTCCCCCGTTTTGATAGTATTGCGGCGATTGATGATGATGATGTTGTTCGTGTAGTCCACTCTTGATGCCACCGTTGCGATTGTATATGTGATGATGATGTTGATGTTTGTTATTCGTAACTCTGGGGTCGTCGCCTTGCATTTCATTCATGTCATCATCGTCGTCGTCTTCATTCTGTGCGCTACTGTAATCATCACTGCCACCGGCTCCACTACCATTGCGGATGCGAATGTAGCGAAAATCGTTGTTCTGATAGAATGACTGAAGGATTTGTTCGGAAATATGTGGGCGACCGGTGATATTGGGCGGATGTGTCATCGATAGTCGGGCCAAAATGTGCATTTTAATTGATGCCAAATTTTGTGCCTTCAACTGTTCACGGAATTGGCATGATGCACATCGTGTAAATTCTTCACTGCCACTGTCACCATAATTGTCATAGTTGACATCCTGTGCGGCCGCCACTGCTGCTGCCGCCGCCGTTGCCGGCTGTTGATGATGCAAATGATGATGGTTGTTGCTGTTGGATCGGCCATTTTTTTGATTGGGCATCGGTGGTGCCATGAATTGACTTCGATTGCTTGACATGATTGATTGTAGTAAGAGTGGCGAAGCTGTTGTCAGCATGCCTCTTCGTCCACTGACGCCACCACCACCTACACCACCACCACCATTCACAGCATCAATCAATGTGGATGCAGAGCCATTGAGTTGTGTGGTCGCCGTGTCAACACTAGTTTGGTTATGCTTGCTACTTAGATCATTGCCAACATTGCGCGACATCAAATTGCCACTGGCAACGCACACAAAACAATTTAAAATAAGTAGGTATTTAATAAATATGTTCAGCCGGTTTGACCTATGAACGATGACCGTTGACAACGACAATGATGGTGAACGATGGTGTTGCACTGGTTTAAGTGATGCATTTTTCAATGTTGACGATGATGATGATGGCGCCGACATCGTATGACCACCATTCGATTGTTTGGCATTCGGTTTGTTACCATCCACATGCACATCACAACGAGCGACAGTGACCGTTGTCGCCGTTGCTATTGTCCGATTCTCACCCGCTAATTTTGTACTGAATAAATTGCATGGCTGCTCCTGCTTCTGCTCCTGTTCAATGTCTGCATCAATTGCTGCAGCACTGAGGTTATTTCGATGTGTCTTTGTATTGTAATTTTGCTGTTCATTGCATGGCAATTCATTGTGATTTTTCGATTGACGCGGAGGAATTGTTGTCGCTTTACCGTCGCCCCATAAATCACTTGGTCCATTTTTAATTGGATTTGGAAAACATTGGTTGCAACAGTCAATGAATTGATGATGGCGGTCAGTGTTTGGTGCACCATCACTGCTGTTGCTGTGGTGAATATTGGTGGTGCTGTCGCCACTACTGCTGCCACTACAGCATTCGTTGTGGTAAACGGTTGACGGAAAATCGCAATTTCGGCCCATTTGAATATTGTTTGAATGTGTTGCAGCAATTTTGGTGTACAATGAATTTGAATCGGATTGAAATTGGCACCGTATTGGTTGCACTTGTTGATTTTTCGGATGAATTTGTGTTGATGTTGCTGTAGCAGTTGTTGCAACGATCAAGCCAGCAATGTCTTTGTCTTTGCCCGTGTATTTATCAAGCTGGCAATTATCGTACAACCATTTCTTAAGCATCACAATGAACGTTGACGTTGTCGAATCGAATGATTTCGATGACAATGCATACAAAATTTCACAATTGACTTTATCGACACAGTTTTCGTCATCATCGTTGCTGTCGTTGGCGGTGGCGGCACAACGATCGACACCACAATCATAGCACTGCAACTCAAACAATAGTTGCATATTGGGTTCGATCATAATTTGCGCGAGAAAAGTGAGAAATAAATAACAATTCGACAAACAATGAATTTGGTTACACAAATCGCGTGGCGGTTGATTTAAATCTCTCTTCTCTGTCTCTCGCACACTCTCCTTCGCTCAGCTGTGATTCTAAGTCAATAATTGTGTGCTCGGCAAAAATTCAAGCAAAAAAAACCGTAAATTATAAAACCAAACAAAAGCGAAACGATCGAAAATTTTATAACAAACAAATCGTTTGAATGTTTTTAATCAACAACTTTGCTTGCCGTTCGTATAGCATTTCAGATATGCACACAAACACACACATATATACACAATGTGTCGAATAATTCGCTCAAATGCAACCGAAAAACGAGTTCGCACATACACCAATTTTTCCTTTGTTTTTTTTTTGTTGTTTCGCTCTTTCGATTCTCCAATGTGTTTTAATTTTTTGAATTATTATTGTTGTTGTTGTTGTTTCTCCCCGGTACTTGTAGTTTTGTGTCGCGTGTGTGTTTTTTTCTTCTACTTTTTATGCTGTTTATTGAAAACTCCTTCTCTTTTCGCGCGCCACAAGTAACACGAGTCAATATTGAAGTTTGAACAGGAACGACCGAAAAAAAAGCACACAACAAATTTAACCGAAATAACAAAACGGCATTAAAACGTTAACTGCGCGCAAATCGAAATATGCATATATGCACTTGCATAAAACAATGAAACGAACGAAAATAAAACCGAAAAATAATTTAAACATCAAAGTTGAAAAAGTTTTGTCAGCACACCACAGACTATGGTGCAGAGTCTTGATAATTTTCGGTTATTTTTTTTGTCTCTTTCTCTCTGTGTCTCTCTGTTGATTTTTGTTGTTATTGGTGCTCGATATCGGCTTTTTCTTTTCTTTAAGTGTTTTTCATTTCTTTTCTTCTCCCGGTGTTTTTTTACAGTCAACGGTGATGAATCGACGATGTAATTATAATTGATGTTTTTCAATATCTGACGAAATTCAAAATTAGTATGTTGAAAATTTTCATCGATCGATCACATAGCTGTACTGATTAAATTTTTTTTGTTCCCTTTTCGGACAATGAATCCAATAACACTTTGTTTTCCCGTATTGTTCTCTCGTTGTCGGCAAACTGAAATGCGATCCTAGAGTCTCTTAATTTGCGACCAAAAAAAAAAGAGTTTCCGACATGAACGAAGATCGCTTTTCTTCTCCTTTTAAGAATGAGTGCGCACTATTCAAACTTTGTTCAGTTTCTTTGTTTTCAATGTTCAAGGATTCAAACTGCACTCATGGATTCTGCACATAAAATTTCCCTTTTTACTATCTCACAACCGAAAAGGGAAGGAAAAACATGATCTATTTAACGCTGGTGGTAAATAAAACACACACACAATTATTTGTTCTCCGTTGTTGTTTTTTGTTGTTGCTGACAAAAACCAAACTGAATCAAAAGTGTCTCTCGAGAGTGCAATGAAAATTGTATTTTAAACACAACGAATCAATGATTTAGGAAAAAAATTCGAAAAAAAAACAGAATTCCGAAACTGATCGAAAACGCGAACGGAAAAGAACAATAGTTGAAAATCAAACGAAATAAAAAGGAATCGAAGAAAACGAAAATGCGATTGCTATGTGGAAAATGTTAAGGATATCGAATAAAAAATTGAATCGACCGCTCGTGTGAAGCATTCCGAGCCTACTGGCCATAATTACAGATTAGCACACCGTATATAAATGATCCCGGGCGTCGCACGCCGAGCAATGAATATACGGACTATGTTTTGGTATTGCCATTCCGTTTGAAAAATGAGCAGGCAACATCAGCAGCAACGACGACAACGACGGCAGCAGTAGCAGCAGCAGCAGAAGCAGCCACAACAAGCACGCTCTCTTGCGCCCGTGTACATGCTATACACGGCCATGCATTTTGCCATGTATTGATAATAAATATACGTGTTAGCAAGGAGAAAGAGAGAGAGAGAGAGAGGGAGACGCAACACACACAAAGATAGAGGGAGAAGGAGAGCGCGTACCTAGCGTATTCTTCTTTTCATTCATTTTCATACGCCCGAATGCCACCGCCGCGCACACACAACCAGAGAGCGAGAGAGTGCCCAAAAAGACTCGAAGAAAATACGTCAGTTGTTTTATTGACATGAGAGATGGCATTTAAGAATGAACTGCCGACCGAGTACATTGAGTAGAACACACATATTCACACATGCATACACACATACACGCGGCCGCCCCGCAAATGCAAACCAATTCACCGCAATGAGCGAGAAAGAGAGTGTGAGCGAACAACGGCAATCAAACATGCACATTCGGTTGCTTTGTGGTAGGCAGGCAAACACGGCATACACACGGGACAACGCCAATGTGAGAAAGAGTGAGAATGATCGGGAGGCTATGTGCTGCCGCTTTTTTTGCTGCTGTTGCCATTGCGTTGTTACTACATGCAATTCGCATTACGCTGTGTAGCCGCACACTTTGTATGAGAGAGAAAATTCTAACTGAATTTTCGTGGGGGTCACACGACGGTCGAAAAAGTATAATTTTTACATACAATTAAAAATTGTGATGGGCACTACCAAAGTCATGACGACATTTTGACTCTGTCATTTCATTTCCATTCACAAATAAGCGCTCATTAAATGATGATGACGCTGGTGCTGTCGGCAAAAAAAGTCCACACTTCCGTTATTTGTTCCATTTTGAATCGGTGATCATTGAATTGGTGATGGATGCATGATTGCACCCTCCCTCGCACGAGTTACCATCGAATCCAAATCGACCATTCCGTTTGGGCATCGAACATGTTCATCACGTGCGAAATCCAAATGCACCACTTTTTCTCCTTCATTTTGATTTCACTTGAATCCGAATTGTGGACTTGATTTGCAAGTTAAACTCAAAATGCATTTAACGATCGTGATTTTTCCATTGGATTTCCTATTCGAGTGACATCGCAACAGTTGTGCCAATAAGTTGTGCAGCGGAATCGTTTTTTTTTTGTACCGTATGTAAAACCGCCAGAAAAAGAACAAGCAACAGCAAAAAAAAATCGCAATTTCAGCAATAAAAATCGTCTATTTATGATAATGAGGTAACGACGTCGATGACGCGACGACATTCACGTTTTTATGCACATGGCAATATGTGATTTCGACTGCGACTGCGATCATACACGGCCATTCAGCCAGCACCATGCATGAATTTCAGTCAGACTTTTTCTCCCTAGAAACTGATTTTGATTTACAGTCAAGATTGTCGGGCAATGCCGAATTCGCAATTAGAACCGATTTCAACAACCACCACCAATAGCAGTAATAATATCAGCAACAGCAACAAAAACTAAACGTTGAACCACAATTGTGACTTGCGTAATTATAGAAGCCGTTGAAAGAATAACAATTTACCAAAAACATTCACAAAAGACTTATTTCAAATGAACGGTGAAAAAAATATGCAACGAAATTGCAAAAAACTAGCTGTGTTTGAACGCAACAAATCGTTCAAAATGTGTTGCTTGTTGAAGGTGTTTTTTTTTGTGTGATGTGTGAACACTGAACACATAGTCGAAAAGTTGTCAAAACAAATCGACCAAATTATGACAGACATATCAAAAATGTATGCATAAATTCATCACTTAAACGAGTGTCAAACAATCCGTTTTGATTTCAGCTTTATTCCCGAAATAGTATGTGTATATGTGCACTCATCAAAGTCAAGGTTTTGCAAACAGAGTGTAAATTATCGTGGAGCGCAATGAATTCAAGCAAAATTAAAAACTTACCATAATCATAAGCAACAACAACAACAGTAACAAAATTCATTTTATTGCGGCGCAATTTCAAGTTAGACGTATTTTTACAGATGAAAAAAAAGCAGGAAAAAAAATCGTCTACACCACAATTAGCCGCACAATGATTTTCATCTTATGCTCTGCGTGCAATTATTATGCATAAATTAGTTTGCTTTTTCGTACGAGAGAGAGAGACGAGAGAGAGTTAGAAAGAGATATAGAGATAGATAGAGAGAGAGAGAGAGAGAGAACGTATGTCATAAAGTCTGTTGGTCATCCTTCGTTTTTCCACATCACATCCAATTCAACGTTGAGTGAGAAAATCATTGCCCATTCAATCGAATCGAATTTATTGGACAAATTCACGTACTTGTTTTCCGACTGTTGTCAATGGGGGAAAAGCGAATTGTGCGAACGCCAGCCGAACCGAATGCGTTTTTTCTCTTCTTTTACCAGTTCAGTGCAAAAAGTGGAAGGACAACACGGCAACGGTGTGATCAAAACACAGCACAGCGATTTCCCTGAAGCTCCGTTATCCAGTCAAACAAACGTGGTCCGCGTGCGCTCACGCTACTGGCCTGTCATGGATCTCAAGTTACTGGTTCAATTGTCGTCGTCGTCGTTGTCGTCGTTATAATAACGGCATTATACGTATTTGTACAAACATACGTCCCGCTAAACATATATTTATATTTATTTTTGTTGGTTTTTTTGTTGTTGCTTGCTGTAGTTCGCCCGCTCGCTCAAAATGAACGAAACACATCGAAAGAATTGAATGAAGAACAACGAACAAAAAAATGACGCACAGCAACACAAAAAACATACACTTTGTTTTCGCTTTTTTTCATGCTTTGCTGTTTGAATGATTTTTGTGATCAAGTTGTTTTTGTTCTTTCTGTCATTGTTTGGCTACCTGCTCAACATTTCAAATCGCATTCAATCATTGATTTGCATGACCTTCTCTTTGATACTTCGGGTCTTTTTTTTTCGCTTTCGAATGATCATTTTTCGAAATAGTAAAAAAATCGAATTACGACAAGAAGGTAAAAAGAGGATAGTTGGATTTCGGTTAAACGCACGGTTTTTTTTTATTTGTTCTAACGGCAAAGTGTTCAATGACTTTGAAATTAATGTGGCTTTGGGATTGAAATCAAATCAAAGCAAATCGATCTCAAGTCGCTACAGATGAGATCGATTCAAATCAGATGATCGATAAGATAGCGTATGATCCAGATTTTGTGTGAATGTTCCACATTCATATTTTTTTTCTTTGTTTCTTCTGTTCGTTGCTTTATCGTTTTTCGTTTCATTGTCCATATATTCGCCTCCTTTGACGTCGAATGTCCACATATTTTAGCCCAAACGTTGAATAACTTAAACATATATGCATCTAAATCGTGCGCATTTTATCTCATTGCGGATTTACATTTGTATTTTAAATTGCGATTCAATGGAAAATGACAGCACGGCGGCAGCAGCAGCAGCAGAGAGTGTGTGAATGAGAAGGGAACGAATGCATGCGAAGGAGTGAGATATTGCGCGTTCAGCGGAAAAATCTCGCAATCTTAAAAAGCAGATAAATTTCGCGCGATTAGCGATGAAATAAATAAAATTCTACTTGACAATATGCAACTCGTTGCGCGCGCACCCGCACACGCGGTCGAGGTCTTTATCGCACGACATCGACGGCCTGGATCATGGGCATCAGATCATCTAGCTTTCTATCCATAAACACACACACATATGATGGATAAATGAATTTACCTTAATTGATGCAATTTCATTTTCATTGCTGATCCATTGATGACATGCTCTCAATGCTACGTACCATACGGTTTTTCTGCGATCGCCTATCTTCCTCTTTCTTGTCGGTCGCTCCTTTGCTCCCTTTTCTGCTTCTCTTTCTCTCTAGATCACGCTTTCGCAAAGTACAGTGCGACTTTGATAGTTTCAACCGATTTGGTGCAATGCAAACGAAAGAAACCAACAAAGATTCACGGTAGTTTTTTTTTTGGTTACTTTGACATGGAAGGTATATGCCATTGACTCCCCCGATTCTGAACATACTTAACTTGGTTGTCGATTCCCTTTCGATGGAATCAATGTTCTTGTTTACGAAGAAGAAATTTGATTTATCTTTTTTTTTTATGAAAAGAAAAACAACTTTTATAGAATAAACATACCCTTCGGTTGTGATTCATCCAAATGAATGATCACACCAATACTTCCACACTGGTAAATGAAATTTTTCTAAGAAATCTCTAGTCGAATGGTTCGCTTCAGAGATGACTTTAGCGTACCCGAGTATTTTTGTTGTTTTTTCGTTCTACTTTAGCTTTTTGGCGAGGATTTTTTTAAAATAATATTTTGTGTAACATAACAAAGAAGAGCTTACATTTTCTGCCCCCGGTATTCGCATTGTGTTGTCATATGCACCTTGTAATTATGCGCATTGGCTCAATTTCGCAATATTACGCAATTTCTACTTTTGGGGATTTTTTCTTCATATTTTACTAATATAAATGTGGTTTTTCAAAAACTGTTCTTTGTTATGTTACACAAAATATTGATACAAAGTTTTTTCTATCAAAATGGTAAGTATAACGAAGAAAAAAACAACACAAATACTCTGGTGCGCTAAAGTCATCCCTGGTTCGTATCTTCATGATTGATGAATGCAATTTCAAAAAATCAGTTCGAATGGATGCAATCGAGTAAAGCAAACCATAACGATGCATCATCTGATGGACATGTACGTTCCATGAGATGTGACGTGCTTTCAATACTTCCAATAGATGCATACTAAGACGTGCAAATCGCCCTTGAACCAGGGGGAGCTTACGTACATAAAGTACATAAACAATTAAATTAGGAATAAATGGATGGACTGTGATTTCTTTTTTCTTTTCTTTTTTTTTGCTTGCGCTAATGTCATATCGCATATTTATGTGGAATATATGAATTCTATAAATATAAAAGAGAGAGATATGTTTTAAATTAGATTGAACACACACAGGAAATGTGAAATACAGTGAGATGAAGATGTGCGCGCGCAAGAGCGTGTTCGCAAGCGCATTCGTACATGTGTCAACAACTTCTTTGAAGGTCATTCAGTGTGATAAGTAAAATAAAATGTGTATCCGAATAAATGTCATTTAAAGGAGATGGAATAAACGGCACCGCTCGCTTGCGCGCACATCAATCGCTCAGATATTCGAAGCGAATACAAATATAGAGAAGCTTGACGACGACGACGACGACGACGACGACGACAACAACAACAACAAGAACAGCATCAGCATCAGCAGTAGCAGTAACTGAATGCTTCAACAACGGACATGTTTAACAAACAAACAAAAAAAAGAGTATAAGGAGAGCGCGCACACACAAAACATTGAGTTTTGAGTGGAGAAAGAGTGCGCGCGCACGCACACGAAAGGGATACAGGGGAGAAAGAGAAGCAGAGAGAAAGAAAGTACGTAGATGAATTAGATGTAGTGTTGCGATTACGATCGCATTTGTAGCTGAGACCGAGATTTTTGTGATTTTGATTGGTAAATACTGACCGCCAGTGCATTAATCATTACTTTACGTAAATTTTTTCTTCTGCTGTTGTTTCGTTGCGTTCATTCGTTCGTGGCATTGTTTTTGTGGTGTGATTTGCGATTCCAACAGCAGTAGCAAGATTATCAATCCGAAATGATCAAAGTCTATTGATTAAAGAAAAGAGGAATGGATTGACGGTGATTCTTCTTTTGATTAGCTTATGCACACACACACACACATCGAGTGAGGCTTTTGAATTATTGATTCACGCACGCGCTATTCAATAATGTTAAGATGTGGCTGATGCCGTTGCATTCGAATCAAACTAAGACGATCGAATCAAACAAACACTCATTACACACTCTGCATGAGAACACGATCAAACGGTCTAATTGAGTTTCTCTGTGTTTCTGTTTTGTTCTTTGCTGATGTCGTTTTTTTTGTTGCTTTCATCTTTTCTGTTGATTGTTTGTTTTTTTTTCGTTGCTCATGTTTTGTTTTATGTCATCTGCCAGCATTTTTTTGTTCTGCTACTTTGTTGTGTTTTTTGTACCTTGTGTGGATTTGTGCGCACTTGAACTAACCGATTCGCATTTGCTGCTGCTCTTAAGCAAATAAAATAGTTCAATCTTTTTTGATCTATCGAATTGGTTTCGTTGCAATGACGAATATGTCACTTGCCGTTAGGTTTTTAAAACCACATTTGATGAGTGAGTTGTGTATTTTGTTGGTAACAGCGCCATAATATTATACATTGTATACATATTGTTGGCAGAGAGATAGAGACATCGCACTCATCTCATGCAGGCAATAGCAAAGTAAAGCAAAGCAAAATAAGAAAAAAAAATAAACATATTTTTATCTTATTAACAAAAAAAATACACACCGAGCATAGTAGGGCATAAAAGAGAGCAGATACAGATCAATTAAATTGAAAACAAAAATCATAACGCTAACGGATCCTCTGAATCAAACACAAGAACAAAAAAAAAACAACATACACACAGAATGCGCGCCGCAAATGTTTAAGCCCATATTTAAAATGACAAACGAACAAACCGAAGCAAAGAATAGCGAGAGCGCAGAAAAAAGTCCAACCAAGAATTGAAGCAAACGACACACATGAGCGAGTAGCGAGTAAGAGTGAGAAAAATCAGCAAACAACCAATCAGCAGTACGCAACGCGCACAACTGATGGCAACTCAGAAGCTATGTATCAACAGCTACTTCAACACAAACTATATGTTTTTCGCATGACGCCGCCGCCGCCGCCGCCGCTGCTGCCACCGCCACTGGAGTGTGTATGGTGGAGGAGCAGCTACAGTAGCAATGATCCACGAGAGGATAGAAATTGCGATGAGATGATATGAACACGAAAAAAAACAAAAACACACAATTGAGAGAGAGAAAGAGGTAGCCAGAGCCACTTACTAGCTACTGCAATGCGAACTATATTATTTTATCAAAGATATTCATCGCATTTCTTTCTTTTGGTTACACGAGAAATATTCATTGTCACTGCCGCCGCCGCCACTGCTGTCGCTGTCGCGCTCTGCAATTTAATATTTATTTACGTTTGTTGTTGTCGTTGTTGTTGTTCAGGTCTTCGATTCAATTATTAGTATCATCATGATCGTGAGTGCGAATGTTTTATTGGGTTATTGATTTGGATGTGGGCTCCACTAGGTCAATGACAATCGGAGACGATGACGATTGTGACAAAACGATGAAAAATGGCCAGAGCAGTAAGAGATTCGAGAAAAAATCAAAGAAATTTGGGAGAATGACTGTGAGAGATAGAGAGCGACCAAAAACAAAAGAATTTCACCAACGACACCATCCATCGTCTCTTCATCTCAAACAAGCAAGCAGTTGAGTTGTTGGCATAAATTGCAGAATTTTTAATATATGAAAAATATATTAATGTATTTAGTTTTGTTTGTTTTTTTTTTAGTTGTTGTTGTTTTAAGTTTGTTTGTGGTTTTTTTTTTGTTTGGTTGATTTGCTTAGGTATGATAATAATACATAGAAAGTTTTCTTAAAAAACTTATATTATCCTCGTTTTTCTAATTTGTTACAATTGTTCATGTCAAATGGGGAAAAAAATGATTAGCAAATAAGTTTTGTTAAAGGATGTTTGGAAAAGAAGGAGATACAATTGGTTTTTTTGTTTTTGTTTAAATTTAAATGGAGTTGTTAGTTTTCTTTATTGTCTCTTTTTTTTGTTTTTGTATTGTTTTCGTTCTTAGTTTTATTTTTATTCTTTTTTTCTTCATTTCATTTCTCTGCTTCTTGTATATATTGTTCTGTTCATTGCCAAAAAGCGATTAAATGTCAAAATGTGCTTTCCCCTTTTCGACCGTGTTGAATGTTGAGAGAGCTTTTATCGTTCATGTTGCAGCACCAAAGAGCGGGAGGGGCAGGAAAAATCTTGGTTGATGCAATTATGGACAGCCACATTCTTCGACCACCATTTTTGGCAGATCGCGTTTGATAATCTTTTGATTTTCCTCGTAATAGATGAGTGACATGCTGGAGAATTTGAGTGGTGTACAGCATGGCTGTAGACCGGTTAATCGGTTCATTTTACGATATTCCTCGATCACATGGCTGTGATACGAGCGAAAATTATCGGGTGTACGCATACCGTTGCAATTACCCTGACAATAATTGGCATAGTAACCGTGCGGTGCAATTATCCAATCCTCCCAGCCCAGTTCAGCAAAGCTTACATAGAACTTTTGCTTACAACACTGGCCACGCGCCGCCATTGAACAGTCGGGCGTATGACGGCGCACACGTTTCATTACATGCGGATCGGTATAGATCACCAGGAATGGACGAACCGGATCCAAACTGCCGTTTAGTTTATCTACAGGCAAGAAAAAGGAATAAAAAAAATGAAATTATTTCGGTGTCACAAACCCACTGTGAAGAATTGAATTTCCGACTATTTCCACGTTCCTATCGTTCACGGAACTAGAACTCGTCAGGACTCACCATTTCGCAATAAATTCGGCTTGGCCCTTGCTTTGGCATTTTTCGTTGGCTTGCCATCAAATAAATGGATTTTGATGCGATCCGCACAACCGGAACAATCCACCAGAAATCGCAATCGGCTCTTGCCCCCATTTGCATACCATTGACGTACGGTCGATGTTACATCTAATTTCTGCCACCCAAGTCGTGACACATGAACACTTTTGCTGGCGCTTAATTTTATATGTTGATTTGGTTCCTATTTTTTTTTTCAAGGAGATTGCATTTAATTGGAGCTAATTGGTTTCTGCATAAAAATTGTTTTTTTTTTCTAACCAGACTTCTTCTTTTGGCTTGTTATATTTGTGTCTCTTTTTCTCAATTCTTATTAGTTTCTTTTTAATCGTTTATTTTGTTTTTAAATGGTTAGTAGTAGCTTTATGTGTCTTACCGAAGTCGGTTCATCGATGCGAAATACCCAGAGTCGGAAAAAGTTTCGATGATTGTTGGTTCGATGGCGATGTTTACCCTTCGCTTTGTGATGTTTGGTCACATTTTTCTTTTTATTGTTGATCTTCGGTGCCAGTTCATCAACTTTGATCCATAGAAATGCACGACGAACACGTGTATCTGAATTGAAATCGGTATTTGATTGTTGATATTGTGTTTGTTCCATCGTTGAGGTTGCGCTTTGCGATGCTGATGAAGATGCAGATGATTTTACCAATTCTTCGCGAATTCTCATCTCATGGGAACCTAATATCACTGATTTGCTTTGAGCTTTTGTTTCATTTGGAACATTGTGCAACGGAAGAAGTTGAAAAAGTTAAACAATTTAAATTGTCAACGAAAATTTGTTTGAAGTGGAAAAAAAAAGAAACAAAACTAAGCAAGATTAAATTGTCGTCTATTTTCATCATTTATCTTACCAATTTGCTTGGCATCCATCGATTGATGGTCGACTTGTCTTCGTCGTCGTTTACGCTTGCGCACTTGCCGATTTGCAATAATATCGCCCTTGCATTTGGTTCGTTGCTTCAATTTATTATCACTGCTATTGTTTGTTTGGTGCAACGGCGACGACGACGACAACGATGACGCCGCCGACGTGTGATTCAACTGTGCCGATTGTGAAATGGCATCAGATCGAGCTGAATTGCTGTTATCACTTTCATCTAATCCATTGGTCGATACAAATTCAATTAAAGGTTGATGATTGAAATAACTACCTAGAATTACATCGATTACAGTTTGATACGCCTTTTAGTATTTTTCAGTGTACACACACGTAATAAATATGTATCGGAAACGTTTGATTACAACAACGACAGAAGAATAAAACATAAAACAAACACACAGCAATGGCCTCTAGTTGGCCATCGCACAATAAATGTAACTATGTGTACTAAGTGAAGCATCCATTCTAAAAAAAAAACACCGAAGAACATGCATCCCATTTCATGCGAAAGGTAATGGTTAACAACTAACATTTAACACACACACACACACACACGCAATCGATCGCATTGCATCTTTGGTTGGTTTGTTACCTTTTTCTGCAAAAATGATTATCTCGCGTGTTCGCCCATAAAAATCATCAGATTCAATGTCGTTCGTTTCCTCGGCAAATATGTCCGCAGCGAATGGGAATTTTTCTTCGTCACTGTTACTGCTGCGGCTACGGTTGTCGTTTCTATCGTTGCCGGAGAAATGAGGTCGCTCAAATTGATACACTTGCTGATTTGGATCGTCATTCAGTTGACTGGGCAATGGCAAAATATGGGAGGGGGGAAACAAATATATACATTTTCGTTCAAATATCAAGCTATGACTAAAACTAAAGGAGAGAATTGGCAATTGCATACATTGCGGGCATTAATTTGTGTTTCACATTTTTGTTGAGCTTTGATTGATGTTTTTGCTTTTGCATTTGCTTTTGCTTGTGTCGCTGCTTTTGTCCGTGTTGTTTGCGATGGTGTCCACGTCTCCCAGGATTTTCTGTGGAAATTTATGCAAAAAATGGTTGAAATTTTTTGCTGTTCATCTTCATTTCAAACCAATACTAATGGAATGAAAAATTAGAAATAAACCGAAATTTACCGTTCGATTGTGGCAAAGTATTGTCATCGCCTCGATACAGTGTATTCATGATAACATGATTTGGTAGGGTGGTGGTAATATTTGGTTTTTGCTTGAGTCCCAATTTCATTAGAATTTGATACTTGATCGATTCCAATCGCATGAGATAGCTGTTCAATGCATTTGTCGACGATCGTGATGACAAGGACGCTTCATTTGCGCTTCCATTGACATTTTTCTTTACTTTTCGATTGCTTTTGCCGTGATTGCTAATCCGAATCATTGATTCAGCAGTTATGCGATTAACATTCGATTGCTTTTCAATCGTCAACGGTATTTTCGAATCAAATTGCATTCTCTTCTCCTTCGCGACATCATTATCAATTGCTGCTGTAGCAACCGTATTATTTGATTGTTGCTGCTGCTGTTGCTGACTTTGGTTTTTAACATTGTTTGCATTGACTTGATCAAAATTTAATACTTTAATAGTACAATTGTTTTCATTTAAAGTGAAATTTAGCTTATAATTTTTAACAATATTTCTTGCATCAGTAGCATTGTGGCCATCGATCGCACCACCATCAGCAATCATACTGGTGCTAATGGTGGCTGAATTATTATCATTTTCATCGTTCATGCCATGCATATCATTATTATTGTCATTCATTGTATCATTGTTAAGAATAAATCTATGATTCGTAGCAAATAATTGAATAAATTGTTTTTGTTTTTTGACTCGTTGAAATTTTGCTGGTGTTGAATGTTGTTTTGGTTGTTGTTGGAAGTTTAGCGATTTAGATTTATTGCCATTCGTTTGTATTGCGTAATAATTTTTACGATTGTTTATATTACGACTACTAATTATCCTAATGTAATGTTCAAATGTAGAAATTGGACTATAATTGTTAATTGAAATATGTTTAGCTGCATGGGTGTCGGCTTGAATTGGCGTCGTCTTCGTCGTTGTCACTTTCTTAACGACATCATTAGTGGTTTTTGTTAGATTGTTGTTGGTTTTAAGTGATGATTTGGAAAGGAAAATGGAATTGAAATTGTCGTGGCGCATAAAAAGCTTGGCTGCTGTGGTGGTAGTTGCTGCCGTTGTCTTGACCGCAACCATTGCATGGCTAACATTGTTGCTGCCAGCTTCTGTATCAGAGCTATCGATAATAATATTTTGCAAAATTTCATCATCATTTGAATGGAGATTTGGATTTTGGCGAGAATTAAATTGATTTGGAATTTTGGCTAATGATAAATTGCCCAATAAACCGGCGATTCGTGGATAATTTTTCAGACTTTGTTGCAACATCGACTCATTCCATTCAATGTCATCATTATTATTATTCGTTCGATCGGAAATGGAAGCGTTAAAAAAACGAAACAGCTTTTGATGACCTGATTCGGTAGCGGTGACAGTGGAGCGCAATGATCGTGGCAGAACGTATATCCTAACCGATGATGGATCATTTACATCCACACCATTTCCATCATTATCATTATCATCACCAGCAGCTTGTGAATCCGGAGTTGTGATCGAACTACTAGTGCCTTCGACACAATTCAAGCATACCGATGCAATTTTAGCTAGAAGAATGCGCTTAATATGATTGCTGTGATTATTAGTGAAATTCAATGTGGCTGACGATTGTGGATTGTTGTACTTTGGAATGTCACTTTCGGTTGCATCCGCATGACTAAGCGCTGGTGCATTATCAATTTGACGATGGTTGGAAAATTGAATACGTTGCTTATTTATCTGGATTTGAGTAGTAGTTGCATTACTTGGACTGTTTAATAAATCGAAGTGATTGTTATAGTTGCTAATATTATCTAGTTGGTATAGAAAATAGTAATTTTTTAATTTAGAATTAAAAAAATGATCGTCGAATGGTTGTGTGGTTGTTGGTTTTGCGCTAGATTGCTGGTGCTGGTGTTGGTGTTCCAGCTGCAGATCGATCGATCGCTTACGTTTGCTAGGATGGGCTGCAGCGGCGGCGGCGGCAACACTGATTGAGTGTGATTTCATTGCATTGGCTCCATTAATTTGGCCTGCGTGCAAATCGAAATGCTTTTTATGTAAATCCCGTAACAATACATTCGTACGATTGATCGATGTGAGAATTGTGTCAGTATTGAGGTTTGGTTCATCGGTTGTTGCTGTGGCATATCGGCGAGTGATTTTATGGATTCCTCGGGTGGCCAATTTTTGTGACTGATGATCATTATCATCATCATCATCGATTGAGCTGAGAACATATAAAATGTGTTTGAGCGATGCCGGTGGCTCTTCGATTGGTTGTTGACGGTCGTTTGGCATTGTAGTTGGCCTCATCGGTTTAAGTGTTCTCGTAGCTAGGCTCAATGTGTGAAACCGACGCATGTTTGTATTGTCTTTGGTTTGTGTGGCAGAAAAATGATATCGTTTCGTCACAAATGCTCGAAATCGTTTGATTACGGAATGATGGTGATGGTGGTAGTGGTGGTGCAGTGATTCTCTAACGCTCATAACATCAGGTATTCGGTTGGTATCGTGTACATCTAATCTATTCAATGTGTGATTGCTTTGCATGTTCTGTACACGTCCGCTGGTTGAATTCGGTTCTTGTTCTTGTTGTCGGAACAAATCTAAACTAAAACTAGCATTTGGATTGGTCTTTTTACTACGTGTTTTTATGATTGATATACGTTGTTGTTGTTTTCGACGTTCATACGATGAGATCGAACCACTTGAATCGACCACAGCATGATTTGCATCTAAATTGTTTTCACTACGTTTGTCATATGTGTTTGACACGTTTGATATCAGCAACAATGCCGCCGATTGCGATTGTGTGTCATGGGCTTTTTCCGTTCGATTTGTCATTGACGGCGTCGGCGTCGGCGTCGCTGTCGACGATGCTAGCAGCCATTTAATCGGCTCAATTGTTGTACTGCTGAAACTTGCATTTGCAAATCCATTCACACTACTGTCACAATGCACAAAACCAACTGAACCACTGCCACCATCTCCAAACGGCCACAGCCATGGCCACAGGCACAACACAATTAGCGTAATAAAAACTTTTGTAAAACCTCTTTGACTATGTTTAGTATACTTTAGCACCACCGATTCATCGTCAGTGCCATCGTTTGACGGACGATTACGGCTACGATGATCATGCGTGGATCCATTGAAATCGCTGGCCGGTTCACACGCAACATCACCACCGATCTCATTCACGTACTGAACGTAGCGTTCTGTCGCTGTTGGTAGTTTTTCGATTGATTTTGGGATGTACAGCATTTCATCATATTTTGATATCGATACATCGATCTGCCCAGTTTGTTTGTTCGACGTCGTTGTTGCTGCTGCTCTGATTGCAAATTTCTCTTGCATTTGTATTAAATATCTGTATTGTTATTGTGTATATAGTTTTAATTTTTTGTTTGTCTGTTCTTAGCTTTTGAGTATTTAAAAAGGGATATTACTCGTTAATTGTCGTGATTTCTTTTTAATAAAATTGTTTGGTTGTGTTTTAATGTGAACGTATGTGTGAAAGAGATTGAAAGAAGGGATAGGAAAAGAGAGATTTAGAGAAGGAGAGAGATAGATAGAATGGAGAGTGTTAGAGAGATACGCGCATATGTATGTAACAATACTAAGTGAATGATGATGAGTGTGATCAAAAATTTCTTGTAGATTGTTTGATTTCAATTATTGTCACGTATTTGCTCTTTTTATTTTGTTATCGTTTGTTTTATCAATGGAGAAAATGAAGAGAGAAAATGAAAAAAATCAATCATATTTTTTCCATTCGTGTTTGTGTATTCGAAATCGAAAGCTAGATTGAAAAATGATTAAATTGTTCAAACATAGAAAATGTGTGGTCCAAGGGTAAGTAACGGAGTCGCCCTATTTTAACTCTCCACGCTAGTGTCCGTGTGTCTGTCTCTCTCGATTATAAGAATCTCTATCTACTTAATTGTTAGGCTTAAGGATCAGTTAGCTCAGTTTGTTGGGGAGGGGGTGTGAGTGAGTGAGTGTGTGCTTGGATACAAACCTAGAAGAATTATTTGATTTTATATAAATTTTCCTTTTAGATTAACTGTGATATGTATTGAATGCATGTGTATGTGTAGGGATTTTTGTTGGTTTTTTTTAAATATATGTATCCAAGATGATTATTGAAAAGAATGGAGAAAGAGGGTGTGTGTGTATCGGTTTGTGTGACTGGCTGAATGAGAAGGAAATGTTAATCAGGTTCTCCGTTTAAGGCTTGAGTAAAATGAATGCAGCCTTATTAACGTTCGTTTCTTCTTCGAACTCGTCAACAATGTCTACATCGATTGCTTTTCCGATGGTTGGTCTTCGATTCGATTGGTTTTTCTAAATTATTTTTTGCTACTCTTCGATAGATTTTTCCCGTATGTTGCCGTGTTTTATTCGGTTGTTATTCGTCTCTGTCTCTTGAGTGCAGAATGACCAGCAATGTTCTTAATATTGTATTTTATGCCACAAATGTGTGTCGAATAAATAACAAAAATTTGTTAAATAACTTTCCTATCTAGCTAACTGTGTGTTCAACTTACAATTCATTAAAGAGATTTGTTTTTTTTTTGTATTTAATATTGTTTGGTTTTTCGTTTTAAATTTTCATTTAGAATATTAGCGTAATTGTAACTCTTAATCGGACTTCATTAATTCGTTTTTTTCTTGCTTTTACTTTTTCTTCTTCTTAGTGTTCACCTTTCTTTTGCTTTATTTTCGATCAATTTTTGCTGTGCTTAACCACTTGAATTATTTCTTGTTTGTCAATCGCTTTCATAAATTTCATTCGCATTTTTCTTTTTAACATTCACTTTTCTTTTTAACAATATTTGGTTGTTTTTGTAGAGGAATGCTGTCGATGATAAAATGGATGAAATTGGTGTATGAGTGAATTATCTCAAACGGTAAAGAGCAAGTAGAAAAAACATTTAAAATTGTTTTTTGTGTTTTGTTGTAATTGAAATGGAATTTTGAGAATAGGAAATTTTAATATATATATAAATTAGTTGTGTGTTAAATCACTCTGGTAAAATCTCGATTTTCTCTTTGTGTAAAATGATTGGAAAAGAATGTGTGAAAGAGTTGTTTTTTTCCGGTTGTATTTTGAAAGTTTTTGCTTTTTATTCTTATTTATCTTGAACTCACTGGCTTTACTTTATTCTTTTTTTTCTGGCTTTAACTTGCTTGGTTTTCGTCTTTTAGACCGTATTTTCCGTTATCTATGTTCTTCTTTCCTTTTTAGTTATCTTGAATGCTAAATAAGATTTGATTGGAAAAAATTTAATCTATAAATTGGTTAATTATTACTTAATTGTTCAATTGTATTCACATTAAATGTGTTTCTTTTTGTTGTATCATTTCTTCATTCATCCAAGACAAATTGAACTGTGAATGTGTGTGTCTTTATTATTATTGTTTGAATTTTCTTTAATTATTTGGACGGCACGAAATTTTATGCAGTTGAATTCATTCACAATTCAATTGGTATAAATATTGATCAATGTTTTTTTATTGTTCCTCTGTTCGTTTCCTCTCTTATCTCTTTCGTTTTTTTTTACTACGTGTAATATATTTTATGAAAATGTAATTCAGATTGACCTTTGCGAATAAATTCAATTATTTATAAGAATTCGTTGTTGCTCTCTCGCTGTCTCTGTCTGTCTTTTGTTGGTTTACACCGAGAAAAGTAAAATAACGCTTAAAAAATGATTAACATCAAAACGAACGAATAAGGCAAACAATAAACAATGATAACATTGAACATTTGACAAAAAATGCAACACTGATCAGTGTCATTTCAACTAAATTGTTTGCTTGGAGAGAGCTTGTATTGGGTTTTAGCTATTTGGTTGTTTGTGTATAATTGCAAATATGGTTAAAAAGTTGAACGTACAAAATTGTTCCGCTTTCTGTATCTCTTGTCTTGAGTTTTGTCACTCTATGTCGATTGATTGTGTGTGTGTGTGTGTATTGATGATGAAATCAACAAACAGGCACTAATTCAAATTGTTTCAACAGAAATCGGGCCAATCAACAAATTGCTACTATTTTTATTGTTAAAAATTGTATTTCATTCCAAATTTTTGTTTTTTTTTTCGTCAGACTGTATCGAGTTTTGAGAGTGAAGATGTGAGGGTGTTTTTTGTTTGTTTCGAATTAACTACACTTGATTTATCTATAACAATTTAGGCTCATCCATCATCACTAATTTTCAAAACTTTGCGTCATTGGCTACTGACAAATAATTTAAATGGTTGTCACTTCCGTGTTTTTTCTCTTCTTTTCTTTTGTTTTTTTTTTATTATTTGTTGTTCTGTGTGGATAAAATCAACGTTTAATTTAGACTACTAACTGTTAATTATTTGTTAAATGTTTAATTTGTTTTTTTTCTTTCTTAAAGCAAATGCTTATCTGAAGACACTTTAGTGTAATGCCCGGCGATAATGCAACAATGGTGGTAGCTTATGATACGGATTCGGATAAACCATAAAATTTTGATCAATTTCATATGGAGCAGCATTTTCGTTTTTTTCGTCATATATGACAACAACATCTATATTCGATGGCGGCTACAGTAGCGCGATGGCAAATTTCTTGAGAGAAAGAGGAAAAATGGCGGCTCAAACTGATGTGATCCTTCCTCTATCGTTGTCGTTGTCGTCGTCGTTGTCCTTGTTGACCGTACAAAATGGTTGGCTCGAAACTTTCTATTTTTATTGGTTTGTTACTGTATTGAAATCGCATACGATGATTGTGTTGCTTTTTAGATTGTGATGTTCAATGACTTTCCTGGAAATAACAAGAGAGAGAGAGAGAGAGAGAGAGAGAGAGAGAGAGAGAGAAAAAAAAGCATGTGAATGAAGAAAAAAACTGTATGGATTACTGTACTGCAGGAAAAATGGAATAAGAAGAGTTGGAGCGTGCGTGAGCGAGTTGAATGATTTATAACCACAGGTGGTTTTACTATAACTATAACGTGATGCGGTAGCCGAAAGTGAGTGAGCGAGTGCGAATAGAGAGGGATAGAGCGATCGATTTTCGAACACCTGTTTGCCGCATGAAATCAACCATTTTTCACAAGTGATTTCACACTGCGGTCGTTGTTTTCGGTGGTGGTTGTGGTTGATGTCGTCATCGTCGCCGCAACCTATCTCAATGACACTATTTCCGTTTGCAATTTCACACGCTCACTTTGTATGAAGATGAATCGCAATTTTAAATTCAACATATTACAGACAAAACGAAAATTAAAATTAAGTGTAATTCAAAAGGCACGCACAGTACATAAGAGCCAATGCAAAAGTCAATTGATGCGCATAAGTAGCGCCACCTCTAATGATTACGGAGAGTTACCATAAGTCGTATGCAATTGATGTTGAGAAAAAGAAGAAGAAGAAGTAGACATTCTATTCATTTACATGGCAATAATGGCAATCAGTAGAGATGGTGCTCATGTGCCGATCATATAACTGTTACAACCCTTCGGTGTAATTAAAGCGACGGGCACCACAAACACCATCATAAATAAATCGTTATGAAAAATTGCAATTCCACCAAACACACAAGTCATTATTTTGGAATGTGAAGCAGCGGCAGTAGCAACGGTGACAACAGCAGCAGCAGTAGAAAATTAGTGCCATTTTGTGGGCACAACACACTTCTGCATAAGCATCTTTCGCATCCGTCGTTCTTGCACTGCATAGAAGAGACAGTATGTCTCCCATCGTAGCCGTTGTCGTCGTCATCGTCATCGTTGTACCATCGCACATTCGCTTCGTCAATTTCGTTTCATTTCGGTTTAGTTTGGTTTGGTTGTGCATTTTTTTTTTCGTTCGAACTCAACTGTTCATACATTATTTCGCTTGATTTCGTGTGTCTCTCGAAAGCGTTATTCGCTTCACTGCTACTGCTGCTCATTTTAAAACAGTAAACAGTTTAATACGATTTGGCAAAGCCCGACTCACTACCACCATGCATATAATGTGTGGTGTGTGGTGTGGTAGAGAAATGGACAATGAGACTGAGAAAAAAAAGAGAGAGAGCATTGTATGTCTAATAACGTGCATTGGCTGTTGCCATGTACTTACTTGTAGTCGAAAAATACATTAATCGCCATAATAATAACTGTAAAATATTGATCTGAAGATGTTCACGAGTAATGGCGGCAATGGCGGCAGCGGCAGCATCACCCATAAAATATCAACAACGGATACAATAACAACAACAGTAGCAAAGAACAGAGTGAGATTTTTTTTTAAAGAGAAATCAACGACAAAACAGAAAAAAAAATTAATACGAATCGAGTCACACACTGGGAGAGAAACATACACAGAGAGAGGAAAATTGAGTCACAAGCAATAGAGTTGTATGTCCTTGCGCACGCACGCACTTTTATTGAGATGACTTGGATGATTTTATTGTGTACTGCTGTATGAACTTTAACGAGGAATGTTCAACTTCTTTTTCTCGCAACTTTTCTATCTATCTCGCTTGCTTCGATGTTTTTCTTTTTTCTTCGCTCCTCATAAAATTCCGGATGGTTATGTTATTTGGTTCTCTTTCTCTCGTTGGTTTCGTCTTTGGTTGATTATTGCACTGAACAAAATTACCACTTGAGAACAATACATCGGCTTCTTAGGATTTTTTTAAATTTGAATTATTCCACATTTATTTCGGTTTTCTCTTTTTAATCGAAGAATGTATTGGACGATGTCCACGTTTTCTATTTTTCCTCTTTTTTTAGTTACAAATTCACATTTTTTTTTTATTTCAACACAATTTCACTAGCTATTTTCTTTAAAAAATAATCCTCTTCCTCTTTAATTTGTTATTGTCGTTGAAACTTATATTCTAAGGCATTCAAGTTGGAGAAAAATCTATATATTTTTTGTTGTTGTTGTTGAAAGATTATTATATTCAATAGAAAATATTTTGTGTAAGTTTAAATGTTATTTAAATTGGAGCTTTCAAAATATGTGTGTGGAATTGGTAAAACTGAGATTTAAATGCGTTTTTTTTCTTCTTTCAGTTGTGTTGCTATTTGCGAGAAAATGTTTAAACTTTGTATGTTTTCTTGTGTTTTTTTTCCCTAGCGGCACACACTATTTCTCAATTCTAGGCCAATTTAAAATTGTCACTTGGCATTCATTCAGTTGTTAATTACTTTTTCGGATTTCTTTTGCAAAACGAAAACATTTCTCAACGATAAACTTAGCTCTTCTTGCAAAAGAAAAGAAAAAACAACACATCGATCCATTTGGGCCAGTACTTTTGTCTTCATTTCGATTGTTGTTTTTTTTCACTTTCTCGCTCTCTCTTGCTCAAATCCAAAATGTATCGGTTTTAGTGCAGTTTTCCGTTTGGTTTTTCTTCGTCTTTGTTATTTTTTTTTTCATTCAGTTCGATCGTTTTTCAGATATCGAAAATTGGTCTTTTTTGCTTGGCCGCTTGTCATTTCTTCACTTCGAATTCGGCTAAATTGCACTTTAACGTTTGTTAATTACACAACTTTAACTATTTTTGTTAATCACTCGTTAATTACTACGGCCTCGTAACTTTCGCATTCTCGTTCTCTTCTATCTATGTATATGTATGTGTGTGTTCGTGTAATTTTTTTTCTGGGGCGGTTGATGTGAAACGGTTAAATTTTTCTTAATTTATGAACAAATATAGTTTTTTTTTCTTCTTCTTCTCTTCGTTCGGTTGTTTGGTGTGTGAGAGCTGTGTAAACGTAAAAAACTGAATGTAACCTAGTAGAAGGATAACTTTACACTGTTTTCCATTCCACCGAAAAACCTATTCTTCTCTTTCAATCTAGTCAATTTGATGGTTTTGCTGTGCTGCTACCATCGACGCGATATGCGAGTATCAGAGCCAAAAGCTTTTATCTTGAAGTTTGCGCTGTGCGTCGCCGTTTTTCCATATATTTTTTTTCGATTCGGTTCGGTTTCGCCTATATTATAACACACGCGATAGTGTGTTTGATGTTGAGTTTTTTTTTCTGTTTGTCTTCTTTTGGTGTGCGGCGAGGAATAGTTCTTCTCTGCTAGCATTCTATCGGTGTGTGTGTATGTGTTGCAAGTATGTGTGCCGCTATAGTTTTTCGTATAGTGAGCAATGGTGTTCCATTGGTTGCCATTCCATTTCATCGTTTCATATATATATATATATCCATCGCCATTTCTCGACATGTTCATAAGATGTGTGTATTGTGCCGTTTACTATTTCATAGTTTTTTCGTTCGTTCGTTTGTTCATTTATTCGGTTGTGTCTATTCTATATTGTCGCTGTTCGGGTTTATCTATTTTGCCCCCGCTATTTTTTTTTCTTCGAATTTTTCCATGAAAGCGTGCGATCACTTGCTCTCGATTTACACACGAATCTGTGTCTATCCACTCACCAAACGCGTTCACTTAGTCGATTCATCCCTATATCCTTTCATATGCGGCGTTCATTCTCCAACCACTTTGAGCGGCTAGCAGTAGCGGCAACGGCGGTGGCAGCAGCATCGCACAGCCGAAATAACCGAATAAAACTATATTTTGTCTGCAGTCTGCCAGACATACTGGCTTTTATGGCCTCTCTCACATATTCCAATCGGCCAGAGCCCAAACTCGCGAATATTCGTGCACTGCTTCGCTAGCTAGTTGCTGCGTTCATTTGGTTTTTGGGGAGGGAAAATCACGCTAAGACTGACACTGAAGCAATTCAATCGACTCAAATTTTTCGTTTATTTCGGACCTTGAGAGAGCATGGCTATGGCTCAAAACTTATTCAAAATGATTCATACTATCTCTCCAGCCATAGTTTTATGCTGTGTTGCCGCGAAATAAAAACCCACCATCACCAGTAAAATGCCGTCGTTTTCCGTCGCCATCGCCGCTGCTGTCGTAGTCATCGTTGATGTGTTCTGTGAGAATTGCATACAATAGATAAAGATAGACAGTGACTGTTGTCGCATTCACTCTATTCCCTTCTATTTGCACGACAACGACGACAGCGAAGCACACAATCGGCCAGAATGACACGATGAAACGAATACGGACGACGATGAGAACGAGCGCGAACGTAAATAAAGCAATCATAACAATATTTATAATAGTTTTGCTGCTTTTATTGTATTTTCGATGCTGCTGCTTCTTGTTCAGTGAAGAGATGAAAGAGCAGCAACATAAAAACAACCACCAAGCAAACGGAATGAAAATGAACCGAGAAAAAAAAACAACAAAAGTAGCAACAACGGCAATATCGTCTTTGTGCTGTATGGAAAATAGGGAAAAATAGAAGAGAAAAAAACCATGCCGTAGTTATGCATAGCGAGATATGCTGGGGCAGCAGCAGCAGCAGCATCATCATCATCATCATCATCATCATCATCAGTATCGACTGAGCAAAATGCTGGAAAGCAATAAATGTATCGCATGGATATCATTGTCGCGTTTGTCTCTGGCAATCGTGAGTTGAAATGTGCAAAAGCACAGCACATGTCGTTTCGTATCGAAAATGATGAGAAATGCTAGGGGCTAACCACGGATTTTTTTATTGAAAAAATCTGTTTTTATCGCCCAATTTTAATGACATCCGTAAAAAATTGAAAAAATCTGTATATATTGAATTTTATCGTTTAATATCGACTATAAACGTTTAATGTGCTGACGTCATTACCGATTCAAAAATGCTGGAAGTGGGTTTTGGTGGATCCTCAGGATCGTTTAGTACTGCTCCCGATTCTGGAAGTAGATCTTCAGGATGGGCCAGGGCATTGTCAAACCCAGTCTGGTCCATCCTGAAGATCCACCAAAACCCACTTCCAGAATCGGGAGCAGTTCTGAACGATCCTGAGGATACACCAAAACCTGCTTCTAGAACAGTATGCATTCGTTAAAGCGAAAAAATTATTGCAAAAATCGGGCAAAATCGACCAAAATGTGATCATATCGGAATTTATTTGTTTAAATGATAAAAAAATGTTAAAGTCGGTCATTATTGGATATTTTTAAAACCGTGGTTAGCCCCTAGGAAAAATTTTCGGAAATAAAAATGCGTGGAATCTATATATCGTGAATTTTTCTTTTACTATTGCTTCGGATGCTCTGCTAGCGCGAAATTATTGGAAGCAAATTTACGCGTAACACAAATGATTGCCATTTTTCCGTTGTCTGTTGGATGTTGGTATGTGTGTGTGTATATATTGTGCTGTTTGACATTGATGATGGTGATGGTGAGATGGGTTGGATACAAAGGCGCCGAATAATGGGTCAATTGAACTGAAATTGATGACTGTCAATCGATTCAATTTCGCTGTACCGATCGAAGTGCCGGATTTAGCCGGCCAGTGGGCCAACATAAGTCATGTTGTTGTCGATGCCGGTGACGGGCGACAATGATGTGACCGATGAACAAAACTATCCGGTAAACATTTCACATTCGCATTTATTGACCCCGGCGAATCATAAGCACGCCGATTGTTATATAATTTCATCGAAACGATTCATTCGTACTGACAGAGTCAAGTTGTAAGGGCATGCATAAGCAATTGAAACTATCTTCGCATACAAACTATCAAACTTTATGTCCGCTATTGATGCTGCTGATGATGGTGCTATTACTACTCTCACTGTTACGAGTAATAATGAGTTTAATACATGCAAGAAATAAAAAAACCAAAGCAAAAGAAGAGAAAGATTGAGTCAGAAAAAAATCGAAGGGAAAAAAACCGAACGAACGAAATGAAGGAAAACGAAAAAGCGGTAGATCTCAGCAATCGACGACAACGACAATGACGACAAACGACGGCCAAGCATTAACCAAACTTCTTTAAGTGCATCGCAACAAAAAAAATTAAACGATTCGATCTGGGTAGACAGACAGACAGCCAGCTAGCCTGTGTGTGATATCAAAGCGCGCGCGCCCCGTAATAGTCGTAGTAGTGAATTCGAAGGAAAAACATATACATATATATATATATATATATATATAGATAGAG